GTTAACGTGGTTTAGGATTTGGGTATGTTGGGAATTTAGCCAGTTAATCAAATTAATCCTTCTAGATGAAGGTGTATTCCTAGCTATTTGCCTAACCAGGCATTATCTTAACCTTCCAATTAATCATCGGCCTCCAAAGGATAATTTGGTAAGAGCATTACAAATACATAATTGACAATGTTCTAAAATACAACATGTTAAGAATGAAGTTTTTTTTTATATTTGAATCATGAATAATTATATTTTCAAATTAATATTTTATTTTTCTGAATTAAAATAGTGGATGCTTAATAGGATAAAGAGAACTTTAAATAATAAAATTAGTAATTTTTTATATAAAAAATACAATAACTAAGAGAAACAAATCTTAAAATCCAAACGGATATGGATACAATCAATCCCTTCCCACCGATTAATGATTTATCACCCTTGGCTTTACAATGGATAATGCTCAAACATGAATTTTCATATAAAGCGCCAAAATACATAATCCATCAATAATAAAACAAAGACACGTTTCCATGCATGCATTGAATCTTCACTTTTCTAAAGCATATATGCCTAACCAGGTGATTAATCTGTAGGTTAATAACAAAAAATAATATATTAAATGTGTTACATCAACGGATAAGTTTTCTTTCCTTGCGAGAGAAAAGCGAGAGCGATTAAATTGGTTTCATGTCATGACAGTACTGTATCTCTGTTCGAACTCTTGTGGTTAAACCGAAACGTGTGAATGAAAATGCTCTCTCTCTATTTGTCCCAATGGGACGTCGACATGGCAATCAGATAAAGAGAATCAATCCATGAATTAATGTTCCTTCGTGATCACTTTACGTGTCTGCATATAAGGCGACGTCTCTATGCGAAGAAGAAATTACAAAGAAGGAGAAACAGTATGCTTAATTATTTGTTCGTTTCTTATTCTATTTTTAGAGGGTACAGTAGCAACCTAGTTCCATCATGCAGTCTATTTTTACAGAAGAAGAAGAGTCTTGTTATAGAAGATGATAACTCTTTTCATTGGTAAAAGTTCTTTTACAAGCTTATAAAGGGAAATAATTTTCTCAAAAACACTTGGATTTTTTTCGCCTTCTGTGGTGCTTATCTACGCTTGATTCTATGCGTGCCCTTTTCTTCTTCCTGTTTTTCTTTTTGGGAGCAATCTAAGGGCATGTGGTTGTATTATTTCAGTGGTTTAGAACAATGTAATTGCAATATCAAATCCTCTATCGAGGAGTTCGAACTGCCATGTCTATCAGCAATAAAAAGGAGCCTCACTGGCAAATGGCCAACCAAGCCAGAAACTGATCCCCATTACGTTACGTTATGGAATCAAACATTGCTCACAAAGTCACAACCGATCGCTTTCATATCATCATCTTCATGTTGAACTGCAGGGTAATCGTAATTATTACTATTATAACTATATTATGACGATGAACGCATTAGTTGAAATAATTCGAGGCATTTGATTAATTAATTGGCAATTAACACTTTCATAGAGTTTAATTTCCACGACCCTCTGGTGCGGATTTGGAATTTTGGTGTCTGAACTTAATCAGGCTTCAGGATAGACTCCAGGCTGTTTTGATTAGGTTCAGCGAACAATAGACAATGATTAGTTAGGTTAATGAATTGGTTGGTCATCAATCACCGCATGCCAGAGTCTACTGGTCAAGTTATTTCGCAGTAGAACGTTCTAGTAAAAGATAGATCCAGTAAAAGATAGACAAGTTTTTTATTTTTCACGGTCATAGTGGTCTCAATAACGAAATAGTCATGGTTTAGGTAATGTGCTGTGAATCATTAACAATTTCGATGTAATTACAGGCTGCGGGGATAAGATCAAATTGCGTTCTTTGAAAATGAATATTGACTCGTTCAATAACCCCCGTTAAAGTCTCGACATTATCCTCAAGAGAAAGAAAATAGGAGAAGAAGAAAAGTCCTGGCATACAAGGCATTAATCATATTATGAACACAAGAAACGTGCTTTGTCGGTATTTTAAAATAATTAAAAAAAGAAGAAGATAGAAAGACATTTAATTGTAGGGGTAGTAGAGATAAAAATATCAAAATAAATATGTTTTTGAAATAATTTTGTAGTATGTATCCCTTTTATCTTAATTGTCTTTATCTCTTTTATAATAATAATAATAACTAAACACAATTTAAACATGATAATTTTTTTTTTACAAGCAACAGTCATATTATGATACAGCTTCTAGAAACAAGAGTATAAAGGCAGATAAAAAAACCCCTGCGTCCTGTACAACGAAGATCCCAGGTTGTGCAGAAATGCAGAAATGTATGATCATTTTAGCTCAGGGGAAAATAAATTGGGTGTTTTTATAATAATAGATGTTTGATAATATGGTAATTTTTTACTTAAAAATATATTAAAATAATATTTTTTAATTTTAAAAAATTATTTTTAATATTAGGACATTAAAATAATGTAAAAAAAATTAAAATTTTACTAAAATGTTTGAAAACGCAATACAAAAAAAGTGCATATAGTGTGGGTACTCGGCGTTTCGTCTTCCTATACCACGAACGAACGTACATTTCGAACTTTTATTTTTTTTATTCGCAAAACGTCATGCGCTCCGTTTCTCCTCCACAGGCGTTGTTAGTCCAGCCTTTCACCAACTCTTCCGTACAGATCTGGTGTTTACTTGCTCAAAGGCACGTGAGATGAAGTCGTGGAGATTAACGACTTTCCTCGCAAGGGATCATCACACATGTCTCCGGCTGCATTTGTTCTTTTAAAATATTTTAGTCAATTTATTTTGCATAAAATTTTTTATATTTGTTTACAAAAAATACTTTTTTATATTTATTTCTCTTAAAATATTTTACAGACAAGATAATCAATAAAAAATATTTTATAATCAGTTTTCAAATATAATTTGTTTTCTTAAAAAATAATTTTGATTTATAAAATTTTATAAAATATTTTACAAAATAATTTACTTATAATATATATATCATTCAATTATTTTTATCACCGTCAACAGTACGATCACTTTCTTCTCCACAACCTTCTCATTCATCATTATCATCACTCTCTTTTTTCACCATTACTACTACTTCATCACTAAAATCACTATCTTCTTTTCCTTTAGTATCATTAAATACATACTTTATAAAAAAATATTTTTTAAAAATAAATATTGAAAAATAGTTTATGCTGACGGGTGTTATGGGTACATAGAAGAACAATATTAATATTGCATCTTGTTATCTGAGAGATAGAATTAATTGAAAGGAGTCTTTAATTATCATTGATTTTGGTCTCCAGCTAAAATTGTCATAATTGCGAATTAATCTAATCCGAAGTTAATACTTTTTTCTTGATTAGTTAGCATTGCTTAAGTATTTGGAGTAGTATATTTAAGAGTCGGTGATTAAAATAATTCAACTAAGAGAACTGGACGCGACTAATCAAATCTTGAACACGGTCATAGCAAGAATTTTAAATTGGGTTACAGTTTGGTAACTCATTAATCCAGAAGGGATTTTACTTTCGCATTTACCCATTGATTATATATATATATATGATAGTAGAAATGACTTTTAGATGAATTGAAATTAAAAGGATATTTAGAGTATGATTATGATTGTTTTTTATTATAAAATATATTAAAATGATATTTTTTTATTTTTTAAAAAATTATTTTTAATATTAATGTATTGAAATAATCTAAAAATATAAAAAATATTTATTAAAAAAATAAAAAAATTATTTTTTTAAAAAATATTTCTTAAATACAAAAACAAATAAATCATTAGCACAAATATAAAACCTGATCGCAAGGAAATTCGTGTTTATTCTATGGGTAGCTATTGTCATGTGAAATTTTTTTTTTAAAAAAATCTTCTACTATATACCAAGACATTGATTACAAAAATAAAACGATTGTTTTTCATTTTTAAAAAACCAACAACATTGGTATAAGATACAGTAAGGTATTTTTAGCTTTTGGCAAGATTATACTGGCATCACAGCCAAATTAGATATTTAATATGTTAATTAGGGTGGATTTGAGTTGAGTTTTTTTGTTATCATTATTTTTCACTTTATTTACCAGTGTTCTATTTTTTATTTATATTATTAAATTAATTGAATTTATTAAAATCAAGTTAATAATTCAAATTCAATTTATTTTTTTTCTTTTTCTTAAATGATTGCAGGGCTAAAAAAGACAGAGGCGGCAAACGATACAGCGTGAAGTAACTATCTAGTAATTTCCAAGCTCATTACAGGCATGCAAAAATCAAAATGTGGAGACAGATTAGACTGGAGAAAGTACTCTTTTTTTGAGACAGATTAGACTGGAGAAAGTACTCTCTCTTTTTTCTTTTTTTACTTGCAACTAAGAGAGAGAGAGAGAGTGTAGCCGCCTGGTCCCTCAGTGAGAAGAAGAAAAAAGTCATGAGAAGTTAGGCCATTTTTTTAAACTTTTTTATAGCCAGCTTCTGTTGAGAAATTGATTTAGAAGTTACAATGGCTAAAAAACAAAGGACATATGTATATGGTACAGCTTTAAGACTCCATTCATGGTTAATTTGGTTCTAGATGGGAGTCATATCCAGTGGTTACACTCTGTCTTCTTTAAAAAAAAAAAAACTAGAACTACATTGTTTTGATTAAAAAAAAAAAAAACATGTCTTTCCATTTACTCATTTTAGGTGAAGTCCCGAGGTAGCTAGCCATCAAGAGGTAACCCTTTTCTGGTTGGTCCGCAGACCAAACCCATGTACGTAGTCTTCACTTAAATATTCCTGCTGAGTTGTAACCTCAGTGAAGGCAAGTACAATAATTAAACAAAATCTATTCATAGTAACGTTGTTTCTCGTGGACATAGTACATGAATTAGTTATTCTATTTCCATACCTTTCACTAAGGTTATAAACTTCTCCAAAGTATATTTTACCGTGATTGGTTTGCTACGTGCTCAAGGGTAAAAACCAAATCTATATAAAGAGAAGCGAGGGTTGCCTAAGAAGCAGAACAAGATCAATTTTGTAGCGAAGTTGCAAAAATGGGGTCTCCAATGGCCTCTCTGCTTGTCACTCTTCTAGTGGCAACAATCTCTCTCAGCTTCCCATCAGAAAGCACAGCAAACTACAAGTACTCCTCTCCTCCACCTCCTAAGAAATCTCCTCCACCACCACCTCCTCCTTATCACTACAAATCCCCACCACCTCCTCCTCCAGTGCATTCTCCACCACCACCAGTGCATCCTTACAAGTACAAGTCACCACCACCTCCTCCACCAGTGCATAAGCCTCCACCTTCACCACCCAAAAATCCCTACAAGTACAAATCCCCACCACCTCCTCCTGTGCATTCTCCACCACCACCAACACACCCTTACAAGTACAAGTCTCCCCCACCACCTCCGCCAGTTCACAAGTCACCACCCCTACCACCCAAGAAACCCTACAAGTACAAGCCCCCCCCCCCCCCCCCCAGTTCACAAGTCCCCACCCCTACCACCCAAGAAGCCCTAAAAGTACAAGTCTCCCCCCCCCCCTCCTACTCCAGTTTGCAAGTACAAGTCTCCTCCACCACCACCGCCAGTACACAAGTCTCCACCACCACCTCATTACATTTACGCATCACCCCCTCCACCTCACCATTACTAGATCATGGCGCTCATCGTTTCAAGGTACATGCACGTACGATTATTTTGACAATGCCAAGTATATATATCTTAATTAATAAGTCAATGAAAACACAATGTCAGGTCAAAATATTTCTTTGCAGCATTGCATTGAATTAATTGATTACTTGTTTTTTTTCACACAAATTAATATTTATCAGTTAAAGATGCACCAGTATTGACAGAGATCCAATGTATATGTTTTTACAGGTAAAGGGAAGAGTGTCATGCAATAAGGAAAAGGACGCGAGCAGGAGCTAGCCTTGCAAGGAAGGAAAGGATAGCTAATGCGTATAACGGAGCAATCTGTGTTATATTTAGAAGATGAATAAAAATACGTGTAGTAGAATTTCCTCATTTTCATGTACTATTACTGAGTTCTGGTGATCGGTTTGCTTATTTGGTTTGTCGAAAAGTAGCTTCTATATATGTATGGATGTGATTTGAAACCTTTTGTGTGCTGTTGCATGCATGGTTGTTTTCAAATGTAGTAGTAAAATTAATAAAATAATCTTTAACCAAAACAGAAGGTTACGCTTCACTTCTTTTTATTAGCATATTTTTATTCTAGTCACTGCAGCTTCGTTTAAGTGTAACAAACATCAACTATTTTGTAAAATCGGCATGCTTGACTAGCTAGCCAGTACAGAAAGAAGAGCTAGTATACTTCAAACAAAAAAGCAGAAATCAACTATTTTGTAAAATCGGCATGCTTTTTTGCTTCAAACAAAAAAGCAGAAGAAAGATTTGGGTATTTAATGTCATTGAAAATGGCCATAAGGCGCGGCGCTTTGCAGATTTGCTGCATGAAAAAACAAAAAATGGCCACAAAGAAAACGAAACCGTTATTTTTCCCAGGACCCTTGGTAGAATTCTTGAACAATTAATGGACTCGCCTAGGCGCCGTTAGGTACGCGGTGGAGTTATTTTTGGTTCACTAGCTGGACATCTGACAAGCATTTTCTGGATATAAATTAGATTCATCCAGCTTGCCATTATTTTGACCACTTGTTTCAGTTACGCGTATATGTTGCTAAATATATAATCTTTCTGCAATAGCTTTTCATTTCTCATAACAATACCTCTTGCCAGCAATTCCCCAGTACTAATTGACAACAGATATTTATGTAATCCCAGACTTGCATTCAGTAATAAGAATCTCGGTATAGTGATTTTCTTCTCTTTTCTTTTTATATGTAGTGTGAACGTTGCCAAAATATGACTGGAAAGATATGGAAAATATTTAACAAATAAAACCAGTGATCTAGTTCTAAAAAGTCCGCATTGAAGGAATAAAAATGTCAAAACTGGGAAGCGCAAAAGACAAATTTTGCGCACACTCTTCTCTACATGCGTTCACATGCTATTTGATAATGCAAGAGTAAGAGTTCCCAAATAATTCATCGGGTTACCGTTTTTATTTTTAAGGAGTTTTTCCTGATCTCTTCACACATCTTTTTCTTACAAGGATCGATGAAGATTATATTAACTGTAGTCATTAACTTTTTTGGTAATCAAGACAAAATGAAAGGGGTAAGCTGGAAAGGCAAGTGCTGTCTAGCTAGCTAGTAAAGCAACCATTAGTAGGCTTCCTTGTTTGCAACTTGCAGCAGCCCAAATTACGGAAAGATAAAAACGGATATTCGTCCACACATGGAGAAGTTTTGCAATCTACTGATTGTTATCTGAAGCATATATCATGTCTTGCTTCTAGTTAATTAACGGCATATATTACCCTGAATTTTAATTTTGTCTTCTACTTAATGTTCTTTATTGCAAATACTCTGTTTAGTAATGCTATCAAGTGCTAACATGTTGCTTTTACATTAATATGGATGCGTACATATCTTTCCTTTCTTTCATTTTTTTCCCCGTGTATGAGCTATCTATCTTTCTTCGATTTCTGAAAGGCAGTAAGTAACCTAATGCCCTATGTCTTTTTTCGTATCACTAAAATCGGCTAAAACTGCAGGTTTCTGAAGAGGCATGCATGCCATAATTCAAGAGCAAAAATAGACCTCTTACTCCCGTAAAACACTACATGCATGTCACTGGAGTTGGAGATCATGACAGATAATTGATGGTATCAACCATTGTCATTCAGCTAGATATATAGTCTAGTGAGATTTCCTTTTATTTCTGCTCTCTCGCACAGCTATATATGCATATAATAGTGACATCTTTATTTTAGGTTTAGTTTCTTGTCATTGATCTGCAGCATAGATTCAGCTATCTCTGTTCTGTATACATTATGCTTTGCAACAACGTAATTTATTCATAAGCGATACATATGGAAAGAACTATGGATTGCACGATAACGATAAGCTAAACTGAAAGGGAGAGTGAATCATGCCATGAATTAAACTGTCTATAATGACCAGCAAACATGTTTGAATGTTAGATAGAATAAATTAGCTCGGTTCAATGCCGAAATGAATTGGTCGTATATGTATTGCCTTAATCAAGGACCATGGCGTAGAATCCGAGCTATGTGCCGACAAAACATTACTATTGATATTACTGTTGGTCCACTATATATTGAATGCCTCGGAAAGAACGAGCTCTAGTTACCTGCTATAATATAATAAGACAATAAAGAGAGCACCTAATACATTATGTATAGGGATGGCAACCATGATGCAAAAAGTACGTTGAGTTGGTAAACCCTTACTGCTTCTGCTCTGTTTTTTATTTTCTGATATAAAAAAGCTTGTAATAATCATGAAGCATGGAATGAGGACATTATCTGATATGGTGGGGTTCAACCTCGAATCATTAATTAAAGCATGAGAGCTATGTTCCACCAAATTATATACAGGAACGTAGTTTTGGAGCGGCAATACTGTTAAAAGGGTTTTAAGAGTACTTGAAATGATTTTGTTTTAAAGAATATGCATGCAGACAATCATCTCTCTCGCTCTCTCTCTCTCTCTCTCTCTCTGAATTAACTAACTAATCCCAGTCACCGAAGTCAAAAGGCTTCCTCAGCTCAGTTCTTTTTGGGAAGTTTACGAGTTTTTCTAGCCAGATAATTGAAGAAAGATGGTATAATTAAATCCGATTAATACCGGTAGCGATGCTAAATGAAATAAGTAAAAAACCGTACGATATTGAACAGGCTACACAGCAGGTTCAAATTTTTCTTCCGGCATTAGTCACTGTCTCTTCAACAACTTGCAATAATAAAGGCATGTGCGCAGGAGAAGACTCGAGAAGGTGGCCTCGTTGGGATATTCTAATTTCCACTGAAAAATAAATAAAAAAAGAAGAAGATAATCGCACATCTGGTCTGGTTTCTTCTCCTAGACGCAAAATCCTGGAAATATGAAGAAAAGACGATGGACGGATCCAGAAATAAATAAATCCTTAAATCAGAGACAAACTGATTGAATATCAGTGCCCCTCCAACTCCACATGTACCCACTTAACTCGCCGCTGGCTGTCATATTTGACAAAAAATCTTTTTAGCCACCCCCCACATTTTGTTTTTTCATATTTCTTTTATCTTACTGGATATCACCACCCTGATTATATTGCGCGTAAATAGCGAAAAGCTAATTTCACTATCTCCTGCAGCTTCCCCGCAAATATTCAAAGAAAATGTGTCATCATCATACCTTGTCAATCTTCTTTTTAGGTGTCCATTACAATTCGTTTCCTTGTTTGACATTGTTTCTTATTTGTCATCTCTTCCATGTATGAATTAAGGTTGAGAAATTATGATATAACCATTCAAATCGTCTCATTTTGACCCTTTTGAGTTATTTATCCATTGATTCATAGATGGTAGAACGTAACGGCCACAAATTAATAAACCACAGATAAAGAAAAATAAGCACAAACATAAAAGCTTATGAAGCTGTTGGATCCAAGCCGCAAAATTTCGTTGATAATTTCACTAGGTTTTGCGAAGAGGTCGAACGAAAGACTCGATTAATTTTTTTAATTCCAATTTGAGGTTAATTCGCCCAATGCACTTAATTTTCACCTTTAAAATATGGTTGACAAAGTGAAGGCCTGGTTTCTATCAACTCTTTATTGATGTTTGTTTGTTTTTATATTTTAAAAGTATTTAAAAAAAATTAATTTTTAGATATTCTAATATATTGATATTAAAAAGAAATTTTTAAAAACAATTATTTTTATCATTTGAAATATCCTCGAAATATGACAAGACGTTACTTAAATATTCGGGTAGCAGCCTCTCAATGCATCACAGTCGAGAATCTATTGCGTAATTTAATTAAAATATTACAAGATGTATTATTCTATTACATTATAACGTGGATTAGGTAGACCGAGATTTTGTTAAGATCAGGTCATTGTCTGTTAACTTTATTATATAGCAATTACCAATATTTAACTCAGAATTGTGTTGTGATTATTGTTGTTATTTAAAACATTTTTATTTTAAAATATAGTAAAATAATATTTTTTATGTTATAAAATTTATTTTCGACAATTAACATATTAAAAGAAATTAAAAATATTAAAAAATCTAGTTATTTTAACAGTACGGTGACACACAAAGAAACAAACACTACCGTGGAATGTGAGGGAAATAATGAAGATAATGAAATTGGTAGGGTAATAGACGATAAGATGCGTATTGGAATGGCCATCGTTTCTACATACAAAACTGAATCTAGAACGGATAATGATAAATAGGATACACATTACATTTTGTTTTTTTGGTTGACATGGTTATACGTACAGTATTCCTCAACACATTGTGAGATTTTGTTTTGTATGAAAATAATTTTTTATTTTAAATTAAAAAATAAATATTTTTTTGAATAATTTTAATAGATTAATATAAAAATAAATTTTTAAAAACAAGAAAATATTATAAAACATAGATGGATTTTGCTTTTGCCTTTGTTCTTGTTAACCCCAACATGTAATCAGTGAACTGGCTCCCACATGCAAGGGTCTGACTGCTGGATCTCCGTTGAAATGGCACATGTAACGACGAAGAAAAAAATGTGGTCCCATTTAATTAATTATACAATTAAAACATAAAATGGAAATTACGGACAAGACAGATTGTTCGCAGGAGGGGTGAGTGGTGGGGAACACACACACAGAGGTTTTTCAACATTCCGCGTCACTTGATCACGTGTCATTCTGTTTTTCTATTCCTTTCCCCGGGGAGTGTATCATCATCATTATCATCGTCAACGTACATACTAATATACGCTGTCTTCAATCATATGAATAGCATCCGTCAACTATGGCGACATAGTGACTTCGTGTCTCTTGGATATATTATTTTTTGCACCGTTAATAAATCCGGTTTAAATAATATTTTTTTATATTATTAAATTATTTTGATGTCTTCTTGGATATATTATTTTTTGCACCGTTAGTAAATCTGGTTTAAATAATATTTTTTTTATATTATTAAATTATTTTGATGCGTTGATATAAAAACTAATTTTTAAAAAATAAAAAAATATTATTTTAATATATTTTCAAATAAAAACATACTTTGAAAAAACCACAAACCCACTATGAAACACAACATTAGCCGCCCCTTGGATCTTTCTTCTGTTATGCATGGTCTGTGATTGCTGCTAGCCTACTTCGAAACAGAAGAAAAAGTTGGGTCATTGTTAGGATAGTATGGAGCAATGACTAACTTCAACTCTTTTGGTACACAAAGGTAAGTAAATCATTTTTCGCATAGGAAAATGATACGCTCACGCACGCTTATGACACCGACGCATATGAGTACATTTTGGTCCTAAAATTTTATAATTATGCAAACAAGTCCTTCAACAAATAAGAAATTTACCATTGTTAAATTTAAAACGCATGCAATTACGTCATCAATTCAAGTAAAAAAAGAAAGAGGAGTATATGTTATTTCTTGAATCTACAAAACACGTCATCACACCCATAAAACACAGCTCATTAGAATAGTGTTACGAGTCTTCTTTTTTTCAACCTCACCTTATCAACCCTGCTATAAGGGGTTGGTATGATATTTCATATAAAAAAAAAAATCAACAACCTTGCTATAAGGGACAGTGCAATATTTCCCACATAATCTATTGTTCATTTCAAAATATATTTAATTTAAAGAATGGGGTGAAAATAAAATCAAAATAATAATTAAGAAGGAACCAAAATTTTTTTAATTAGAGAGTTAAAATAAAAAGAAAATTAACTTGAACACAAAAAATAAAAAATAAGAAAGAAATTAAAGAAAAATAAGCCATAACTTTGATTGAACGATGAAATTGAAAACTAATAAAACTTTAATAAAAAATTAAAAAATTATAAATCAAAAGAATAAAGAACTAATTGAAAGAGACAATCCAAGACAAATTATAATTGGTGAACTAAATAAAAAACAAACAAAATTTTTTAAAATGTCTAAGAAAAAAATTACAAACCCATAAAGACTAAAATTGAAACTTAAAATACAAAGAGGATCAGCATGTATTGGAGAGAAAAAAATAAAAATAAATGACCACTAATAATAAACAAGTTATTATTCACCAACACGCATCATACAAAATAAAAAAAACACAAGATGGCACTTCTAAACACTTGATGGTAAAACAAAGTTTATCTATCTAAAATTTATTCATTTAAAAACACTATGCATATTGAAGCGTAAACCTCATACACCATTAGTTTTTTAAAATTAAATATTAATTTTTCTAGAAAAAAAGAAGTAAAATATCCTTAATTGATCTAGAATTTATATTTTAAAAAATATTATAAAAGATCAAAAACATCCTTGTGCACATGGCCTTTTTTTATGATTCAAGTGGCAAAAATGCCATTTGATTGTTTTGAAAAAAAAATAATTCAGAACAGTTCTGTTTTCTAAAATTATAAGATAAATTAGACATTTTACTGAAACAACATATATATCTTGAATAATCCTCATTGAAAAAGTCTCAAACCAAAGGCATCAAATTTTATCCATCAAGGACAAAAAAATAATTTCACTGTTAAAATCTAGCTATCCGCGAACGTTCACGCTAATTTCCATAAGCGTTTTAGAGTTTTGTATAATGTACAATGGCTACAATCTTCGTAATTCATGTTTTGGAAATTAAAAAAAAATGGTGTATATAAATAGACAACAAATATCAAGCATGGTTAATAAGAACTAACAGATATGTGGAGGAAAGTATACACATTTTGCTACTTAAATGCTTTACAAACTCAGGTGTAATCCTTCTATAAAAATTGGACCCAGAAGAATAACTAAACCTTAGTCCTAGTTTCTTTTGTGTTCTAACGGATAGCCTAAAATCATTTTCCCTCGGTTGTACAATAAAACCTCAATAGCTACGTTTTTTTTTTTAATCTTTACCACAACTATGTTGGAGAAGGAACAACAAATGAGCAAATCGTCAAAACGCGCCTGTTAGAATGTTGCGTGCGGAAATAGTCAGTTCCTGTTATTTGCTTCCGCAGATTCCTGACAGGTCTATATAATTGAGTTAGGCAATGGCTTTCTGTATTAACCAAGGAGGAAAAGAAGTGTTTAGAAACCCACTTGACTTTCTTGCAGAAGTGTTTCAAGTTCAACTGTTATCTCAGAAAAGGATGGCCGCTTGTCTGGAACTGTTTCCCAACATCTTTGCATCAAGTCTAATAGTTTCGGATGTGCATTCTGAGGAAGATCAGGACGCAGCCCCTGGAAAATATTACGCAAAATTTGTGGAACTATTAACTACACAAGCTTTTATTGCATGTCAACCCAGAATGCTTTAACAATGCAATAGAGAAAGCACCGTCTATCTGGCACAAACTAGTTACTCTGTGACTTGGAAATGCAACTTGAAACTATTTTAAGTTACTTTGTAACCGGCAATTTCAGTAACAGGACATAAACACTGAGAAGCAGCTTTCATCATACTAGAATTGAATGCAGCAAATCTGTTACGCAATCCAGAAGGATCCTAATGCCACACTCCTTTCCAGGACACTGACACTCGCAATTACAGTGTAAAAATGCGCAAGATGGGACACATCACAAAACAAGGATACAAAGACGATTACTGTGTCCTTCTACATCCAATTCAAAGGCAGCCTAGATTAATATATTTCGAATATAAAACAGTATGTAGAATTCATGCCTGTCTCACTCCCAGGGCAGCTTGTAGTGGAGTCATGCTATCATATGGAACCTACAACACCAATAAAAATGTCAAGTGAGGATTATCTTCACTGCCAATTATTATTATTATTATTATTATTATTATCTATTTGTAACTTTGATTCTTTTTGTAAAAGCACGAGTGCTAGGAGTAAGTTTAGGAAATACCTTTGCAGTTACTAGCTCCCACAACACAATAGCAAAGCTGAATACATCTGCTTTCTGATCATATGGCAGATGGTTTATGATCTTGTATCAGACAAATTACAGTATAAGAAAATCAATCGGATGCAAGTTCAAAAAGAATAGAGCCCATGATGTTGCACAGAAGATGAAAAGGTTCGCAAGGATCATGAACTTAAGAAAAACAAACAAAACCCGGGTCCATTTCTTGTCTTAAAAAGAGGATGAAAAAGTGGATGTATATCTTTCAATCTAATGTTCAGTACAGCTAAGGAGCGAGAGTACAGTAACTGGAAAGTTTAGAAAAAGAACATTTGCCTTTCTTCTTGGCAGGGAAAACACTGATTTTTAGAAAACACTGATTTTTAGTCATGGCTGTAGATTTACCAAGACCCTGTTTGTTTGCTGAAAAGTAATTTCTTTTCAGAAAGTGAATTATTTTCTGATGTTTGGTAGTGTATTGAAAAATAAATTCGAAAATATTTTTCAGTGTTTGGTTATGTCATGGAAAATGAGCTAGAAAATAACTTATTAATGTTTTATTTTTCTCAAGTTTATTAAAATAATGAGGAACAAATCTTACAAATTAAAAAGTTGAATGAGACTAAAATTGAAAAAAAATATAATTTCATAAATTATCTCAAATAAAATAAATAATAATCAAAATAATTAAGTTCAAATCTAAAAAATAAAAGAAGAAGAAATTAAAATAATAATAATTAACATTTCATAAATTATTTCAAATAAAATAAGTAACAATCAAAAGAACGAGTACCAAATTTGATAGATAAAAAATTTCAATAAAAAAATGATAAGAAAAAAGCAAATAATAATTATAAAAATAAGAACCAAAGTTAATATAAAAATTAAATTTTAAGAGATGACATTGAAAAATAAATATTCAAAACAAAATATATATAGCAATCAAAAGTTTGAGGACCAAGTTTAATATAATCAGCAAATAATATGACATTTTTAAATTTTTCACAACTTTTGAAAAGTGTTTTCCGTCCAAATTTTCCAAGAAAACACTTTCCTGAAAACTAAGTCAAATTTTTCTTTGACTGGAAAGTGTTTTCCGTTGACCGACTTTCCTAATAGCAAACAAACACAAGAAAGTTTTAAAAGTGGTTTTCCGGAAACCACTTTCCGGGAAACAAACATGCCTAAGTCTGAATTCTCAACAATTCATTTAAAAGAAAAATAGCAACACAATGTCTGCCAAAGAATTGCAGATAGTGACAGCTCTTTTTAATATGCAGCTAATCAATTAAGGAGTTGAGTTGAAGATGCTGAACTAAGTTTTGAATAGGGATAACTCTAGGGTGGTGCAAGGAAGAACATGTGGCAATCGACAGCTTGTATCTCTTTACAGTAAAGAAGCAAGACCACACAGCCAAGTTAAAAAATTCAAACCTCAGGTGCCATCCATCTGTAGGTTCCAGTCTCTGCTGTCATTACTCCCCCTTGATTCTGGAACCGAGCAACCCCAAAATCTGCTACCTTGACAACCTTGAGGAAAAAATGACAATAAGTTGAATTAAGATTTTTATATTGAATTATTAACACAATACTTGGTCAATCTATCCCAAATAATACAAGTTGAATAAAGATGCAAACTGGAATGACAGCCTGTCACATTTATAGTCGACTACATTGATGATTTATAATCCAAACTAGCCACTACTGAGCAGAAGAAAATATAACAATATCGGATCTTCATGCTCCATCCATTAACTGTGTGACCCATACATAAAAGGAGTTTCTAGATGGTGCCACACACAGATTAATAACATTTTTAAAACAAAATTGAACTCCATAAACTAAAAAGGATTGAAAAGCAAACTCTTCAATCGCAGCCAAACAGAAGGGAAGAAGGAGAATAATTAATGACATCAGAAAATGATGAACATTTTTAAATAATTTATGTTTATGAGGTCCACAACAATACGATCTCACTTCAATCAATCAAATTAAGAACTCATACGTTTTGAGTATCCATGAGCAAATTTGCTGTCTTCAAATCCCTATGAATGATGTTGTTTTGATGCAAATAATCCATTCCTTTGCAAACATCAATCACAAACTTCAGCAATTGAGGGAGCTCCAATATATTATGGTTCTTATGCAAGTAATCATAGAGACTTCCTCGAGGCATAAACTCTGCAAGCAAGAACATCATCCTTACAGAGGATTCAATGAAACAGAAAATAGGCAAACAAACAAATACAGAACCAATTACATTTGAATTTGACTCAATTACAAAAATGAAGCCATGTATGCCAAAGGAACAAAGATGAAAATGGATATTTTGTATCCCATGTAGATATTAACACAAGTACGAGGATCTTCAACTTTAGTAGACTCCCACAAAGAGAGATGGGTACAGAGGGCAATGCCTTAGTTATTAACTTAATGAAATGACAGTAAAAAATTTCCCAACCAAAACAACTAGAGGAACGAAACCCTAGCATAAAACCGAACATTATTTCACAACAATACATAATATTTTAGGTATGCCACGAAAGCAAATCCTCCACTATCCACTTCGTGGTCTCATCAACTACTAATGGTCAAAAATAGATTTGCATTGATACTTGAAACTCATAATAAGCCTCAGATGTTTCCAGCTTCTAATTTGGAAAGGAAAATGACAGAGAGATTCATATCAATTACTTAAAAGAGAGAGCACCATAAAGAAGCACAATCATTAAATAGAAGAGCAAAGCCTTAAGTTCTCTTTAGGGTAGTGTATCTTCCCCTCAATCAAAGCATATGTGCGATCTGATAATTCTGATCAAATAAAACTGGGAGAAGGAAAGAAAGGTGAAGGGAATATTGCTTCCTGTAGAGTTCTGTACCTGTTACTATACTCAAATGCGGAGATTTTGCGCATGCACCAATAAAACGAACAACATTTCTATGCTGGACTTCCCTGCATCAAGAAAATCCCAAAAGAAGATATTTAATTTGGATAACTATTCAGGTACAAATGTAAAACAATTAAACAATAAAAATGCCTTGAATGACGGTAAGGTAGAACAACCAGAATATTAACAATTCAAATGGACTAGTTGAAAAGAAATTCATGCTCAATGAAGTGCCAGAACTTTCAGACTACACTATTAAATTACATTACTAAACTGAAAGGTAAGAGATTTCCACTACAAAGAAAAGAGGAATTCTTAACTACCACGTGGATGTATAAATAAGAGCCATGTCTTTGGACACAGAACAGGGTTAAATGCCATCCCTCTTTTTCATGGTTTCCCCCCATACTGTTAAAATTGAATAAAACAGCATGAATGAATAAAGAAATGACTGAAAAGGTCAAACAAAAGTCGACTCCATGGCTGCTTGAAGGACAAATAAATACAGGTCAATCAAATAACAGAGATTAGTCCTTGGTATAGAAGTAGAGGTTCTTCCAGGAAATATTAAGTGTTAATTAAGTCAAAATCATACAGTAGGGCATATTAATTACAAATCTGTTTTTCTATATCAGCAGCATAGTGCAATGCTTGCATCAAAACATGCACTTCACTAAGAAATGTATGTTTAAGAAAAGGAAAGAGGAAAAGAAAATGGAGACTTCAAAGCACACAATATATACTGTATTTTAATTGTCAATGACATTTCGCCCGCAAAAAGAAAAAAAATCAGAAAATTTCTACTGGATTTTGTTTTGCAAATTTCTCAGTGAATAAATTATTAAAAAACATTAAAACATAAGCCAAATTTTAATTACTAAGACAAAGACTTGCAAAGATGTGCTCTCAAGCACATTACATAAAACCAAGTGTAATATTATTGGCAGCTTCATTGGTGTCAGATTATGTCATTCTCAGGTATCCTTGCAAATATAAAGGTTAACATGACACATGAGAGTTGATGAATGAGTGGACAACCCATACAGCAAAGTTCAATGACTTTCGCTCTCTCTATTAATAAAACTTGATTTAAAGAATCTTTAAGGAAGATAAATGAGTTGGCATGATTGAAGTGTGAAGTCAAATTCTTGAACATTTTTACATGATGTATTTAGCAAGAATCAATTTAAAAGGCACAAAGTGAACTTCAATATTATAGTTTCCGCCTACTCACCTTAGAATTGCCACTTCTTGTGCAAACTCTTCTTCTTGAGTATCATTTAATTGCTCAGATCTAAAAATTTTAATGGCAACATCTTGACCAAAGTAAACTCCATGGTACCTTCAAATTATCAGAAGATATAACAAATGAGAAAGAGACGATAACCAAAAAATAGACTTGAAGAAAAGCAGTTAAATCTGAAAAGCCCAACTCACAAATCTCCACAAGAACCAGATGCAATTCTTTCTCCAATCTTCAATAACCTTCTATCTATTTCCCAATCTCCAAGTTTTGCACCAGCTGCTGATGCTTTATCTATAGATGAACGAGGATGTGAAGGACCAGACCATGAACCCTGTTTCCAGAGAGAATAGTCAGAATATTTTATTCATTGTTTAGTGGAACAAATGCAGAGAATAGAAACCCGTGCAATAAAAAAGGATTGGGCAAGTTTAAGATTTGGGAGTCTACAGTAGTCAAATGGTGACAGCAAAGCAAAAGCATAGAGACAAGAAGAGGAGCAAGATCTCCTCAATAAGTCAGGCATGGAGAGGAATTTAATTTCAAAAACTCCGTTTATATGATTTTTTTTAAAAAAAAAATTCCTACAAGCACTGCAAAGAGAAGCTCTAAACTAAGCTTCTCCAAACTAAATTACATTAAACTTTAATACAGTAAATCAGCACAGCTTCTACATTCAGTAACAGCCAGCAACTTCATCCGACTATCAGATTGTGGGTTTTAGACTAAGATATTCAGTTCCGTCATAAACACCACATGCATCAGCAGTACCAAGAAGTATCAGAAGTCAGCATTCAAGGATTGAGATGGTTGCTACGTCTTCTTAATGGAACACCACGGAGCTGAACAACAAGGTCCAAAAGTAAATTGTTTATGAAGGATTGCTTGGTGGAACAAAGCAACAATCATGCACTGCAAAGCTCAAGAGAATATATGTTTTATCTCTTAAAAAAAAAAAATTAAGTGGGTACATGTGCACAAACCGCATCTGACATCCAAATTTACTGAATTGACAAGAAAGTGAACGGTCAAGTGATCTGCAACATTTTTGTGCAGCTAAAAGATGAGACATATGCTGCAAAAATATACAAAGCCTTAGTTGATATATACTATATCCTGTAATGGTTACTCAAATTGCTCCATGTTAATTCTAGTTAACAAGGCAACAGTTTTCCAGATAAGAGACATTTTTAACATGTCTGCATTCACTTTCCATTATGCCACAATGCCAGCATTAGCTAGCTGGGGAATGAAAAAGAAGAATACACACAAAAGACAAACTCTCCCCTAAATTAGCCAGTCTTTTTCCAGAAAATTCAGCAGATAACCCCAATAAAAGCAGCACAACTTGGAACTACCCAGCTAGATGAGAATTTCTAAATGTTTGTTCACAGCACATATCAATTGCAACTCTCATTTGCTTTTCATTTTCTGTGTCCTCCTTTACCAGGGATGGCTAAATTCCCTTCACTGGGTACAATATGTAAAGGTAAAAAAGGTGATCATAAAATACACATACAATTTTCAGGATCTTTTTATTTTCCATTGACAAGGCATAGTAAATCTGAAACAACTATCATGATCGTGATCATAATAAAAAAAAAAATCTAAAATGATGATGCCATGAATTTATCAAGATATTTCTATAGGCAGCAGTGTGTGATTAAAGCAAAACTGTAACCCATAAAAACAAACAAAAGGTTCATATTGAGACATGAATTACCTCATTTCTAGCAACTGCTTCTTCCATAGCCTTATACAAGCCATCTGTATCCTGGCCACAACATTGCAAAGTCAGCAACATTTGGACTCAGCACAGAACCCTGTCATAAAGAGATATAATCGCAATGCTCCTTAATATAATATGAGGCCACTGTCCCGGGATAAGCACATTTCTTTAAGAAACCAACTGGCAAATTTTCTAAACGAAAAGGAAAACATAGAGATTCATCACTAACATCAATATGATATTTATGTCGCAAGATATGAGAGATGGATTAGCATTCAAGACGACCAACAGGAGTAAAGCAATAGCCCCCGTGCTATTAAGATCCTTCAGTGGCAATAATGAGTTACACTGACTCCCTAAGTAAGGAAAAAATATATTGGGAATATGAACACAAGATCCTAATGAGTATCAAGTACCTCACTAGGCCATCCATCCACCACAAATACATCCAGAGAGTAGCCATCAGTAGTTGAAAACACATGAGCTTCGCGGATGTTAAGCCCTATATCAGAAAGCAAGGCAGAAAGCTAGAAGAAAACAAAACATCATCAGAAGAAATTCACATTTTTCAATTTTAAACCACCAAAATTAACCCACGTCTTGTGTTTCATTGGTTCAACTGAGTTTTGCATGGCTTTTACATTGCAGCAGAGCATATATCTGATTCTCTGAACATCATTAGCTTAGATAAGTTATAACTTCCATCTTATTAGTATGTTTTAGATTGGAAAATAAGACTTCATGATGCATTAGCAAAGCTCACATAAAATCTGGCAAGGGGCATGTTGAGAATATCATAACTTAAGGGTCTACGAGTAAATATGCAGAATTATGCCATGTTCTCCTTCCCAATGAAGAATAATAGCAAATCCCAACAAGCTGCACAAGTTGAAGTCTTATTCATACTATACGCAGTGAATCCAACAGCTGATGAATAAAAAGTAAAGGGCCCCATAGTGTTTTTAAAAGTTGCAATTGGAAATAAAACCAGGGTAATAAAATAATCCTTTCATTATCATAAAATTAAGGTTATTTTGTGAATATAGAAGAGAAAAAACCAATGCAACTAACTTCAAGCTTCATTTTACTTTTATGGGAGAAATAAATACTATGGTAGCAAATTCCAAGCTTGTTTTTTTTCCACCCTTTTACTGAGGTAATCTGATATCCACTCAAAACTCATTGCAAGAAATGCAATGCAGTTTAATAAACTTATCTATGAGCTCAACTTCTACAAACGCAAATGTCAAAAAATTGTGGTTTAAGTTAATGAAGGATTCCGATCACGGAAATGGACTGGTGTAACTCATTAAAATAACAAAACATAAAAAAAACAAGTCTTCCCAAACATACCTGACTAAGAAGCTTAGGCTTGTCTACAGTAGAAAATATGAATTCATGAATTGGAACATGTGAAACTTCTAGCCTGCAATGAGTTCCAAGCAACCAACTTAATTCCAGTATAGAAAAATATATAAAGAACACATTAGTGATCTAGGTATAATTCGTCCTTTTCATGCATATATATAGGTATAATTCACGTTAATTTCACCTGATTTCATAAATATAGCAAACAGATCCATGGCTGTGCAACAATGTCTTCCTTTACAAATAGAACAAAGACATCTTACTTTAACTAATTTTAAAAAATGCATCCGAAGAAAAAAGAAAGAAAAACTAGGACCATTGTGATTAAAATCTATACTACTTTTATGACACCCAGGCAATTATGATAGAGGATAAGATCAGAAAGAAAATAACAACTCTTTTTGAATTTGATCAATATGGAACTACATAGAGCATTGCTGCCACTTCCATTTAGGCTTTTCATTTCAATTATATGGGTTGGTAATGAGGGAAAAGTTCTAGCTCCTACAGTAAAAACACAGGGAACAAAACAGCACAAATATTGGCAATTATACTAATCTACAGAGTGAACCCACTGCACTAAAAGAAAACTCTTGAAATTCCTTAATTTAAAAAATATCCAATATAACAAATATTTTGCTCTTCAGGATTTAAAAAAAAAAGGTGAAAAAAGAAATGGTGACAAAGTTTCATTGAGAAAGTACCTTCTGGAAACATCCCCTGAATGATACCTCTCTTCCATGTCCTTGGAACTTTTTCTAACATCCAAATTCAGATCCTCGAGCTTAGAGCAAGGCTCAAATTCAATCGTACAATCCTTGATTCTACTTGCAAAAAAGGCATAAATAACAAATAAAGAAAAATGCATTGACAAACCAGCAACATAGTACGGTCATGAGGTTTAAATGCTCACTAAATCTTGAAAATAAAAGTTCAAAGCTCATTGATATGTGCGCATAAATAAGATCTTCAAGGATGCAAAACCTCTTCTGTGATGGCACAACTCCTTCATCATCTGTATCACACGCTGGCCTTGGGATAGGAGTCATGGTTATGAACTGTTGTTCACCATTGCCCTCTGTTTTAGTGCAAAGTTTCTTCCCAGAAGCAAAAGCAGAAAATAAGCAGACAAAGCATAGAATGTAAGATGTGTTACTGAAACAAAATAGCAGGACAAAATCATAAGTAATACAATCATTTTAAATATATAGTAAGTTCTTTATTATTCAGTATCAATTTTAGGATTTGGAACTAAAAAGATGGCCTTAATAATTGCTACAAGATATATTATCCTAGCAAATAGATTCTTAAGCTAAAAGTTAGCAACCAATTAACTTGTAGAGCTCTGTGTGCAAGCGATTTATAGTTTAATGCACATATGCTTCAAAGAGGTGAGGGAATATCTTCTTGGTTCAAACTCCCATGTGTTCTGTTGACCCTAGCCCCCAAACAACCAGGATGATAGCTAACCAAAAAAAAAAGTCCCAACATTTTGAGGCATATAGAGAGTCAGATATGTAATAGACGTATTGTGTAAATTAGACAAATGGCAATGAGGTGTGAGATAAATTTTAGATGATACACGCGCGCACCCACACCAGAAAGCTATCTGCAAAGATAAAAGTTTCTCACCAGGAACATAGAGTCAAATTCTTTGTTTTACAACTATATATGTTAACAACATCGGTCCAAGAAACTAGAACACGAAGTATCCCACCGAGCACAGTTGATTTCAATCCCTATCATTAATCACTCCACCACTAAATTTACCGAATGACTAGTACAATGTCATTAATCCTCTCGGCAATGTCATTTAAGAAAATGACTACTACCTTTTTCAATTTCAGCTAATTCTCCATGAAAGTTCCGTCGAAATTATAAAGCAGATTAGAGCTTAGCTAACCATGTGATTCAATAAAATAAGAAGTGTCAAAGCCATTGATAGTGGCACTGATAACTTGCGGGGGGGGGGGATCAAGGCAGTACCTCTAAGAAACGGATATGGTAAACAGGACGCCTTTCTGGATCCTTTGCCATAGCAAGTAGTTTTTGATGTAACAAAACGTCTTCCACTTTATCCATGTTAACATCCAGTCCGTAACTGATAACAACAACAAGAAGCAAGCAAGCAAGCAAATACAGCAACAATAAGTTCACTAAAATAAAAATAATTAACAGATTCACAAAGAGAACAGAAGCAGGAGCAAATATGGAGTGAATAGAATTCAGAAAACCTAGCAGGCAAGCGATTGAAGTGAGAGTCGATGTGTTTACGAAACAACTCAGGATTAGAAACGGCTTCTTCATGACCAATCTCTATGAAGCGATTATACACGTCGTTTCGCAAATCGTGGTTACTACCACTACCAAAGCTTCTCGGCGGTGAAGAGCTCTCTCCAACTCCTTCCGTTAAATCCATTCTATTTTCTTTCTTCTTTGGCGCTATAAGCAAGCTGGTTCCATGGAGAGGGGAGATTTTATTTGTGAGTGGAGAGGACAGGATCTTTGACTGTTGGTAGAATCTACCAGGACAAGTGAAATGGATGGATTTGGGGTTTTGAAGGCATGCCAAGGACAGTTTCGTCCTATGAAAAAATCTGTAGCAGAAAACGGAGACTCTACTCGACGTCTGGAAGAACAGAGCAGGGAGACTGTATGGTTTTCTTTCCAGTTTTTACACTTCAATTTTTATACTTTTTATCAGCCTGGGGTGCCTTGTGCTGCATTTTTATTTGTCAAGGGAACTGGATAAAGTTACTGAATTACTAGAGTGCCCTTGAAGGTTTAGGAAGAAAGCCATTCCGGGTAAGAAAAGGACGGGGCCACGGAAAATTGTACGATATTTTATTTTAAAAACAAAGACAAAATAAATAAATTTGAAGTCCAAGAAATAACAAGAATATTTTAACTGCATTTTTCTCTTTTTATTTTTTTGGGAAAGTAAGTATAAATAGTTAATTCATAAATATCTTACAACTTACCAAACACATGATTCCGTGACAGAATGCAAAAGAAAGTGATGGCATTGGAGTCATATGCGTGTTTGTTGCGAGTGAAATGGTTTGCTCCTGGGTTTTGGGTGGGACTAGGATTCAATCCATTAAAAAATATGTATATTTCATCCACTCCCAGCTGATCATCTTTGTTCGACCATTTCAAAGCGATCCAGCAGGCCATTTTTATTCGAAAGATTTGCAGAATCCAAAAATTTATAGTAGTCCGAGTCACATCCATGATGCAATTTGCATTCGTCAGATAACATGCCCTGTTTCTTTATAGCCGAGTTGCCTGTCGCCCTCTTATTGCAACAACAATATATAATTCAAATCCCGGCCGTGCGATCTTTCCAGAAGGAATATGGAATGTACTGTAAGTTTATGCTGTCCGTCTCTGACGTCTTCCCAGTTCCAGATTAATGCCGTTCTGTGCGAATAAATAGAGCATTTCATCTGGCAATATATATATATATTAAACGACTTCTTTGAGCATAGCAGTTAACAATGAGGTCAAAGTTTCACTATTCCTTGACCTTATTCCCCAAGCCTTCTCTTGTGATGATTCCCTTCTCCTTCTATAACAACTCCAGAGTTGGTGAGCGTCCTTAGAAATTTTTTTAAGGGGGTTGGAGTTTGCCTTCTCAAGTTTTTATTTTAATAATCTATTAAAATAATATTTTTTTTATTTTTTAAAATTTATTATTGATATCATTATATCAAAATAATCTAAAAACACCCAGAAAAATCATAATTTAAACTATAAAAATTTTAAAAATATAATTAAACTGCAATATTAAATAAAACTTTTATCTTGAAAGATAATAAAGTTTGTTACTATTCTTAATTTACAAAAAGCTACCGCAACTTTATATTTATATATCTATATATATATATATAAAAGTTATAAAATTATTGAATGTGAAAAATAAATTAGAAAAATTATTCACTTCAAATTAAAAAAAATAAAGTTATAATAATACATAATAGAAAAATATAAAAATATAAATTTAACTTTAAAAAATATCTATTTTTTTATTAAAAAAACCTACATATTTGTCTTTCTAGATTTGAAGGAACTCATCCTCAAGTTTATATCTCTATTGAAAACTATCATTCACCATAAAAAACAAAAAAATTATGTGTGGTTTATCTTGTTATGGGTTTTTAAAATATTAATGTCTGTTATCTCATCATATGTCTTTAGTACTATATTTATGTATGTCGTCCCATTATATATTCCTCGCACAACATTTTTGTATGGACCGGCATATTATGGATTTTAATATCGGGATTTTTAACAATAACAACAATAAAAAAACAAAAATAACATATTATTTTTAAAACAATAATTTTTATATTTTTTTTTATATAAACACGTGACTTTTTTCAACTATAATTATTTAACAACATATAGAAACTAACCATAAGGAATTGATACATGTCTTAAACAACCTTCATTCATAATTACTATGAATCATTAAGTTTTAAAATCAATTGATGTATATAGAAGTAAAGGATAATAGGATTTATTAAAAGTCACCGCCCTTAAAAACCAAAAACATTATAATTATAAAGAGACATTGAAAATATTCAATTTTTATTTATCTAAATCTTTAATTGTCAAGAGATAAACACACCTCTTCATATGAAAATAAACTATACAACCCTTTTAATACTAGATATAAAAAAAACAACTAGGAAAACAATTCAATTTGAAGAAAAAAAACTAGAAAGGTATAATGATACTAAATAGAAAAAAAATATCAAAACATAAAATTAATTAAGAAAGATTTCTATTTTTCACAAAAAAAAATTGTTACAAGGTAAACCCTTTATTCACTCATATTTGCACTAAAAAATTACAATAACATCAAATAAAAAAAATAAAACAAAATATTTATTTCATCAAAAACAAAAATCTAGCCCCGTCCGTCCCGTCATCACTCATCGCGCCGGTTTATAGCATCATTTAGTAAGATTTCGACATCGACGATGTAGGATTGCATCCATTATTATATGGGGGGTTGGCCTACTAATTAAAAGGGCATACTCATTCAGATTAGTGTGATAATTAAAGAAGTGTACCTATATATATATATATTAGGTCTAACTACCAGAATTAAAATCCTAACAAATCCGACAATCCTAGCGTGTGAAATCTAACTAAAACATGAACTCGATTCTTGCTATTGCAGTGATTCTAAAAACAATGATATGTTTTATATCGTGCTATACTTTAACTTCTGTTATGATATATATATATTAGTCAAAGGTAGCATAAAATAAAGTATTGTTAGGTAATTAATTATTATTCTTTTAATATTTTCTTGTTTTAATCTCATCAAGTAATAAATAAAACTCCATAATAAACTGTTTGTTCTTGGTTAAAAACAAAATATCCTACCTTGATTCAAAATCAAAACATGCTATTTTTTAAAAGCCACATGTTTGATTTCAAAAATAAACAAATAAATAACTCAATTAAACACTGCTTTTATAATATATATTAAAAAAAAATCAAAGCAAATACGTTACAAAAATACAACAGTCTTGGCTACAAAAAATCAAAATTACCATCAATAATATCTACTAGGCCGATGTATCCGAATTAACGAGTGAATATAAATGACATTTGACACGTATATAAACCACCTCCTTTCATTGGTGATCAGGCACGGCGCCGAGATTTTAAATTTATTTTTTTCCAATCCCCCCGGCCAACCCATAAAAACTAACCGAGAGCTACATGCAAAGAAGTGGGGAAGGGCAGAGGAGCACTGCAACAAAAGTAACCACCGGAAAGAAAGTGCCTGTGCCTTTCAAATTGCAGACATAAAGTTTGGAATAATCTTAAAGCAGAACTTCATATATACCTCTCTAGTTCCCGCTTATAAGGTTTCTGTTTTCTGAATTATTGATAGATGCCATATGTTGTTTCATGTCCCATAGTGTCTGTGAACCATGATGTCTGTGTTTGGATTCTGGTTGTTAGTTTGGTGCATAAATGTAAAAATATCCATAAATATTTGGAGTAATAGTTATTGATCATATATTACAAAGTATATACCGCTTGTGTATCAAAGGCCCCACCGCCCAAGGTAGTTCATTGGGCTGGCCGTCCATATCACATTACATGGGATGGTGGGGTGAGTTTGGTGACAGGGTGGGTCCTGTCCTGATCTTCAAGATCTGAAGACAGGGGAAGGAGACGGTGGGGGCTACCCCCACCGCATAGTTATGATGGCGACGCAGCAAGATGCATGCATGTCAAAAAGGGGAGTCTTTCCCTTTCAGAAATGAAAAGGAGAAAAACATAAACTGATAGCACAAGAAAGGTAAGAGATTAGTTTCGATTATTCAAGAAGAAGAAGAAGAAAAGGAAAGGGAGAGAGAGCGAGGTTGTTATTTTTTTTAGATTAACGTGAGTATTCGGGCCAGCTTGCGCGCACCACGACTAATTCCACGGGCCCTAAAGTTAACGACCATGTAAGCCTCCAGTGACCATCATATGAGCAACTAAGGACTCGAACCTGAGACCACAGAGAGCAAACCCTTTAGTCCCAAATCTTTATTACTTGGTCACCATCTAGATGGTTGAGGAAGGTTGTTATTTGATTTCGGGCGTGGTTGCCATTGTTTTGAAACACTATTTTCAAAAAAACTGATATTTTTCTTTAAATTAATTCTTTTTAAAATTTTATATTGTTTTGATATGTTAATATTTAGAAGAAGAAAAGGAAAGGGAGAGAGAGGGAGGTTGTTCTTTGATTTCGGACGTGGTTGCCATTGTTTTGAAACACTGTTTTCAAAAAAACTGATTTTTTCCTTTAAATTAATTCTTTTTACAATTTTATATTGTTTTGATATGTTAATATTAAAATTATTTTTTAATAAAGTAATATTATTTTAATATATTTTAAAATATAACGAGTATTAGAATCTCAAACATCCCATCACTTCGGTCTGCACTTAGGAACACTGTATTTGTCCAGTTGTTTTCTCTTGACAAGTACGATTGTATTTTAATTTATTTAGCATGTCTGCTACCAGACGACAAAAATAGAATACGTCAATCAGAAAGAACCAGTGCCCGAGTCCAAACGCCGGTTAGAGGGGTCCGGACCTCCTTGACACCCTAAAATGCGGCATATTTGTGGAGTCCAGTAAAAAAAATTCGGTGATAAAATAACATGTGCAAAAAAATATTTAAGAAAATAATATGGTTTGGTAAGTTGGAGATAATATCAGTGATTCCTCAGTTTCAAGTATCATCTAGAAAACAAGGATTTAATAAGAAGAGAGAAGGAAAAGAAGAAAAAAAGATTTTTTTTATTTTAAAAATACACCAAAACTTCAATGATAGCATTAATAATATTATTAGAAAAATATCAACAAAATAAATTTAATAATATCAAAAAAATATCACCAAAAACAACCGGAATTGTATAAGTGACTGAAAATAAGTAAACCTAGTATTTTGACGACTTGTCAAATAAAAAAAGACTTTATTGATTTTTAGTAGATTGTTCTCTGTCAAAATATCTAAATCCCTGTAATAATTGGTGCAAAAATTTTAAGTGAGAAGAGCAAAATCATCATTTTTATTTTTATTGTTATAGTGAAATCCATGAGTTTGTGTTTACATTATCTTCCCGAGAACAATTAGTTCTTTTTAATTTGATAAATCAAAAATTTATTCGTGAAAGTTTTGGTATTCTAGTAGCTCAATCTTTAACTTTTGAACTTACTACTTTACAGCATACAAGAAACTATTATAGTCTTTCAATGTTTGATTGAAGTAATTTGAGCTTGTACGTAAAAGTTTGTATTTGAAATTAATTTTTTATTTATTCATAATTAATTTTAAACATGTATGTTAAAGTATTGGTGTTGAAAAACAATTTCCAATAATATTTTAAACCAAATTACAAGTGAATCTGTATTTAAATTGACTTCAAATATATCTATTAAAAAATGTTTTAAACCAATTTTATAATACTTAAATATCACAAGAGTTTAGAAGGAAGCCTAGCTGTGTTTTTCAATCACAATCCCAGGTTCGGTTTTCGTTACTGTTCATGATATCAGATACAACATAACCATGTAGCCGATAGAGACCTCTTAACTGTCGACAACGCTGACGGCTTCTTTTTGTGTTGACATAGTTGAAGTTTTGCCGGGATTAGAAGAAAGTTCTGCCGGGGTTAATTAGAAGCACAAGTCCCAGCAGGTTTAGACTCCTTAACAAAGGTAGAGGTGGATTGATGATCGAGCGGTCTAGATCGAGCGCATGGCATCGTCCCCATGCTCAAAACACAGACACTGAAGCAACCCTTAATAGAACTGCTGTCATAACATTCACAGGCATAGCCTTCTTTGCTCTGTCAGTAGCCAGGCGCCTTTCCTTTTCAATTCACAGTCGTACAGCTTGCGGGAGCCAAGCCTGAAACTTTTTTCGTTGTTGTTTTTTCAATTGGGCTAGATTCTTTTATCCTTTTAATTCCTTGAAGTCCCGGTAGTGATGCTTCAAGAGGGAACTAACGCAACTCAAGAACAGATTCAAAAGCAACAACAAAGAATCAGAGCGTAATCAAGAGCAGTGGTCTAAAATTACATGATTAAGTTGCTTGTTTATTGTGATAAACGTGCTTAGTTTTCTAATGTTCTTAAATTATTTTTGCACCTCGTAATCACTACACAGACATGTGCACAGTTTACTTGAATGTTAGATTATTAAACAGCACTGAATAAAAACTGCATGGATTTCAAGGTCCAGTGCATGATCTCTGATAACTTATTTAACGCATGTGGTGGTTAGATCATAATTTTAATGGTAGCAACAAAGGCTAACCTTAACCATCTTCAACAGTTCATATCTCCTCGGGAAAGTATACTATATACGTGTTGGACACTGTCTAGCTTAAGATTAAATAATTAAAGTGCAAGATTCCTTATTCTTAGCTTGGCCAAGCAGCGAAACAAAAGTTGGGAAATTCTGACGCAACAAAGAGAGAAAGCCAATGCCTTTACCTACCGTTCTGTATTGCAGTGCAATCATGTTCTTAAAATATTTTAACTTTAAATTAAATTTTTATTAGATCGTTTTAATATACTAATAACAAAAAAAAAAAAAAACATTATATTGTTTCTAGTTGTGCTGTCTTTGCAGATAACACCACCAGAAAAATGGTCAAAGTCTGTTCAAAACCAATGCCCAACCATGCAGGCTGTCCTTTGTAGACAAGCATGTGATTCGATCGCTGATACAAGCTCCCTACATGCTCACAACCCAGCACAGGTCAAGTTCGTGAGAGTTAAAACATCCGCATAAGATGGTCTCAATCAATTTGTATTCAATATTCTGCAAAACGACATCTAAGAAAAAAAGAGGGGTTCGGGAATCTTTCAAGGGATCCATCCCAATGAACATGTGAGCAATGGTGACCTTGTTTTCTGCCAGCAATATTGTCCTTCGCTCTAGTTTGTATTGCAACGTGACGTCCTTTTACATAGCCTTGCACCGTACATGTTCATGTTGTCTTCAACCATTTGTTTTTGTTTTTTATATATATATATATACACTTCAAATTATTTTTTAAAATTTTAGATTATTTTATGTGCTGATATCAAAAATAATTTTTAAAAATAAAAATATATTATTTTAATATATTTTCAAGTAAAAAATATTTTAAAAAACAATTATTACTATATTTTCAAACACTTTCAAAAAATAAACATAAAACTACATGATTAAAATTTAAAAAAATAATAATTAGAGCACACATAAAATAAAACAAGTTAAAGCACTAACGACCAGTTTAGCATAGTTTTCAATTAATTCATTCATTTTAAATATTTGGAATAATAGTAGATATTATTTTTAAAAATATTTTTTTAAAATATTTTTATTTTAAAATGAATTAGAATATCTTTTTTATTTTTTAAATTTTATTTTTAATAATAAAAAAAATAAAAAATCCATGATACCATGATTGCAATTTCAAACACACATTAATTTTATTTGACATGACTTTTTCAAGTTCATTTAAGTCGTTTTATTTAATTCTAACTTGCATTCTTCAAGAAAGTTGCTTTACATGATTTTTATTAAATACACTCAACTTAAAAGTCACTTTTTAACTTATTTTTGTCATAAATTGTTTATAAATCATGTAAAGCTAATCCTATTCTTTCATTTTCTTTTATCCTTGTGCAAGAAAATTTCCTCCAACTGGGGGATCTCTTGTTGGCACGCCACATTATACAGACACATAAGATTGACACATAAGATTGACCAGCTTCAAATCAAAGCTTGACTAAGCCAAAGTGATTGAACTGGAAATTCAAGCTCTCTGCTCTGACCAGCTTCAAATCAAAGCTTGACTAAGATGGGGCCTTCTATACGAATTAAGATCACAAAACAATCACTTTGTTTAGATATGTACGTTATCTTTAGAACCTGATCTTTGAAGAGTGCTGTGATATGAAGCTTCCTTTGTCTCCAACTAATTGATCTAGGAACGAAAGTATCTACATTTGGAGTATTCGCGGCCAAATTTTTCCATCACTCTTGTGAATTTGGTTATCAGTCTCTAGCCATGAATGTCATGAACCATGAGCGAACTGCTCTTGTCAACACCAGTAATGAACTAGAATGCAGTCCCAAAATAGCTTCGGCTTCCCAACAGTTAAAAACAACCTAGACAATATGCTAGATGATTTTACCGATGATCAGTTTATCGAAAGCTTGTTATGATTCACAACTACCCATCGACTATTCCTGTGAATCAAGAAAGTGTGGACTTGGATACTTCCATAGATGACACCATGCATTTTGATGGCTTTTAGCCAAGTAATGGTAGCAATACCTTCACTGATCTTCTGTTCTGTTGAAGTATCGAGCTGGCATCTTGCTTCAAATATGATCGCGGGAATCAGCGAAGTAATTCTAGGTAAAGCAGACGAGAATCTGTTCAGTGATACTCGAGAGCTCTCCTACAAATGCAGAGATACTCCAGCATTAGCATTTGTTGGGTGTCAAACAATAATCCAGACCAAGCGACCACGATCTGTTCTTTTTAATCATATATTAGAAACAAAAGAAGTAGGATTCACGAAAAATAACTAAGAAAAGATATGTAATTGAAGTAAATTTTCTATTTAAATAAAATGTATTATTAGTCTAAAAAGTAAAGAAACGAGCTTAATGCTTTCATTGATTGCTGAATGTCTCTGCAAAAACTATATACAATAGGCTTCACAGAATAACCTCCTTGAAATCTAGACTAATAATTAACTAGGCAAATAATTTTTCATTCTTATCATATATGTCCAGTGTCATTCGCTCATATGTTCCACTATCGACAATCATATACTGCATTTTCTGATTCACTTGCACATAGCTATGGAAGTGTGGGATTTGCACTCTTTCAAAAGGAGAACATGGGGATTCCGATCATGGATGGATGGTATTGGACTCTTCCGATTGGGAGGGAGACGTGATCGTCGTGGGAGGGACAAGTTTCCGATGCTAAAGGGTTTCAAAACAACTCCCTTGAGCGCCACAGATGTTAATCAGGCTCAGTTATTGGCAGGGGTGCTGGGTGCAGAATGAAAATTCAAGGTTTGTCTGTGTTGGAAATCAAGGCCTTTAACAACTGCTTCCTCATGGATTCCCAGGCATGCACTAGGAAGTCGGCAAAGAAAAGGACCATAGGAACTTCTGGATTTGCAATATAATAAAATCCAATGACAGGTTAATCTTCCTCTCTGAAATCGATTCCACATCTGGAATATCATTTTCTGTTTAATATTATAATAGCAGTTATTTTTTAAAATACCTTTTATTTTAAAATATATTAAAAATAATATTTCAACATGCATATAAAACAAACTTATACATACGAGCTCTTCCTCTATATTACTCTTTATCTGCAGAGAGTGAAGAGGGATTTATACAAAGGATGGGACTCCATGATCTTGGACAAGCTTTCCATACAACATCCTAGAAGAAGTCTCGATCCGGCGCTTAATTTCTTTGACCATTGTAGCAAACTTTGTTTCCATCACAGTGATCAATATTTCAACACGATAGTTTGTATAAAAGATTAAACGGGAAACTAGCAGCCACCATCTGATGGCTTCAATGCTCAATAAATAGTTCTCTAACATGGGTATCGGAAAAGAACAAACCAGGTACAAATAAGCAAATACACAAAAACCATATTTATCAATTCAAACCATCGATGCAATCCTCGTATCAAGCAAGGCCAAAAGGGTAACTGGAAACAATTAAACAAAAGGTCAATAATTAGGGATTAGGTACAGGCTTTGAGTTCATAATTAATCAAAGTAAAGACAAATGCAAGTTGTATAGCCACCATCATAATCCACAACCAACCAGATGCATTGCAGTTGTCCAATATAAGAAATCTTTTCTTTTTTTCTAAATAGAAAAGGGATAAATTTAAAGGGCTTATTTCTGGCTGGACAATAAACGAGAATCATAAGAGGGATTGATTAAAACTTCGGAAAACAGGGACCTTAAGATCATCCTAGGTTGAAAACAGCTGTGGCTGTAATTGGAACCTCATCTCCCCGTGATTCAACCACATATAGAGTTCTCGAGAAACAGGTGAATCAACCGAAGAAAACTTTTTGCAGGCAGAAATCTTCTCCGACAAACCTTCCATGGATCCATTCTTTACACTCGTTGAAATTTAAAATTCAGAAGATTTACTCCCGGAAACATATCTTCTTGCCTCTTCTTGCCTTGAAGTATGTTTGCAACCGCAAGTAATTCATAACAAGAGTGAATATTGGTCAGGGATTCACATGCCCATTGCTGTCCTCTCATAAATAAAAATGAAGTGAACGTAATACACACAGTTCACTTGCAAACAAAATGATCATTTACCAATCCCTGTATCTGAAGACCCAGCATGAAGACACGAACCATATGCAATCAAGTAAACACAATAAATGAACAATATAGAATAAGGGCTCCAAGATGAGCATAACTCAACCGAAAGGAAAGCATAGGAAAACATTAAGCTAGCCAGAACAAGAAATGAAACCGGACGAGAAGTCCCGTCACAAGAATCGCATTCACGTTTCCAGTAAATGCAATATCAAATTCCCATTAGCATAATGCTCAGAACAGCAATTTCTTTCTCACAAGTGTATCAAAAGCAAATCTGAATTAGTTAAAGGCCTCGGACCTAAGGACACAAACTAATTTCCTCCGATGAAACAGAGCAGAAGCAAGACAACCAGAGAGTATCTCATATGCAACTGGTACCATAAAGCAAAAACAACATTTCATTGATAAACCAAATACATGGTACAGCATAAATAAGCCAATAAGTTTCTCAAATACAATAGTGGCAATAAAATCCAACTCTAATTTAATAACCAAACATACCAGTTCAAGGCAATGCAGTACGACCAGCCTCAAAAACAAACCCTCTGCAAAGCCCATCTCCACCTCCAGGCACTCCTTCAATCCACCTCCAAACAACACCATCACAATCATCCCACAAAGCCAATTTCCTCATTCTCTTGGCCGAGAAACAAACCCTATCCCCGCCACCAAAAACCTTCAACTTACTCGATTCCTGAAAACTCCTATACATGTCCTCCGGCATTCTCCCTGCCTCCTCCCATTCCAATCTCTCTAAATCCAGCCTCAATATCAAAATCGTCGAACACGATGGATTCAACGATAAATCCGACTTTAACCCTCCAATCATCAACAATTTATTTCCCTTTCCCCGAACCAAACGTGGTCGTTTTATAATATCAAGAATATCTCCCCATTCATGCCTTTCTAAACAAACCCAATTGTTATAATTGTTATTAAGTTTCGACAGTATACATGTAAAAAGCTTCCATTGAGATCTCCATGGAGACCCAACATCGCATAAAGCGAAAACAGAGTCCGATAATAGAATTGGGCTTCTGGGTTTTGATGGTAAATTAGCGGAGAAAGTTAACCACGAGTTTGTCTTGTTTGTGTTCGAGAAATATAAAGCAGCGAGTTCAGTTAATACCATGACTCGGTGGTTAACGGAGTCAACCAGGACAGATCCGTGTCGTGACCAGGCCGAGCCAAGTTGAGGGAGCACCTGAAATTGGCGGGTCAAGGGGTTACAGACAACGAGTGACCTGTTTGATTCGATCGAGGTGGGTGATTCACCCCAGAGGTAAATGAGTCCACTCGCTGACGCCACCGGGTGAGGTGACCTGAAAGGTAAAAAGCTGAGACTGAACTTGAGCCATTGATTCTGGTCTGGATCGAACACGTGGAGGTAAGGTACGGCTGAGACGTGACTGTTTTGTCTTTGATGGTGGTGGTGGTGGTGGTGTGGAGGGCGGAGAGCGAGGAAGCGCAGCGGGGGCTGGGTGGAAATTAGGTCCACGAAGAATGGTGAGGTCAACATTTGATTGAAGAACTTACAGACGGATCTGCAAATCATGATTTGACGAAGTGGGAGAGATGAGAAAATCTGGTGGAGAGTGTCTTGTGGTAGACGGTTCATTGGTGAGCCGTCCATGGTATCAAGTCGACCGGCGACGCAGAGAACGGGGAGAGAAAAAGAAGAGATGGCAGGGGATTGAATGGAGATTTTTGCTTTGTTTTGTTGTTAAAGTACAGTCTGGGGCAGGCCACCGGCCACATGCGATGCCTTTGTTGACTGCTCCAGAGTCAAGAAGAGTCGAGGCTGTAGCTGGTAATGGGCCAGGTATTTGATGGATCCAGTTTTAAGTCCGGATCTATCTAACCGGGTTGGATCCCGAAACTATGTTCAGGCAAGCTTTGGGCTTGTAGCTCAAAAATGTTAGAGATTTGATTAATGATACAGATTGATGCTTGGTGAATGTGCCAAGCAACTAAACAGAAGCTGGATAGATTTGATTATCATGTAAGAAGAAGCGTGTAGAGGATTAAATACCAACTAGCCTCCGTTTCGCAGCGGAATTGAATTGTTTTTATAAAAAAAATAATATTTGCATATTAAAATGAGGTAGTAAAAGAATATAAAAAATCAGTTATGATTAATATATAATAACACGAGATTTCAATCATATAAAAAAAAGAATTATGAAGCCTTTAAGAAAATGTAATAACTTTTTTTCCACACGTGAGCCAATTATCTTGAGATATCCAACTTAAAATAATTTTTAATAAATTAAATATTAAAAATAAAATTAAAAAAATCAACCGTACAGAAATATTAAAAAATTAACAATTCAAATAACGATGATTCATGTTATTGTTGTTGTTATTACTGTTATTATTATTATTGTTGCTAATATCATTATTAATAATACCCTAACCATAATTTTTTATTATTATAATTACAATTATTATTATCACTATCACTGTTCTTATTTTAGCAAACCACTGCTATTATAATTATCATTGTCGTTATTATCAGTGTGGTAATAATAAAAATAACAATGACATTGTTGTTGTTATTATTATTAATAGTAGTAGTAGCAGCAGCAGTTAATAACAATAATATTAACAATATCATTGTTATTTTTATTATCACTATTACAGCTATCGATATCATTGATGTTATTATTAAAATTACTATCATTATCACCAATATCATCATCATGATAAATTATCATTATCACCATCAATGTTATTAGTATTATTACTATTATTATTACTGTCATCATCGTTACTATCATTTATTTATTTTTATTAACATGGATGTTCGAGTTAGCTCATGCAGACTTTTATTAATTCCACAGATTTTAAAGTTAACATTCATATAAACTTCTGGAAGAGCTTGAACTCGTGACCATCAAAGAGCAATCTCAAGACTTAACCAGTTGAGTTGCTCCTATTAATGGTAGTGGTTGTATTAATGTTACTATTGTTGTTACCATTACTGCTATTATTATTATCATTAACGATATTTTAGTTGTTGTTGTTATTATTAATAATATTAATTTGATTATTGTTGTTGTTATTACTGTCATCACTAATATTATTATCATCTCTAGTATTATTATTATTATTATTAATGCTACCATCATCATTATTATTATTATCATCACTAATATTATTATTTTCATTACTATTTTTACTTGTACATATTTTTATAACTAACATTACTGTTTTTTTTTTGTCATTATTACTATTATTAATATTATCATCATTGATATTACTATTTTTGTTACCATCACTATCACTGTTATTGAAAAAATAAAAATCACGAACTTGATTTAAAGAATAGAATTAAAAATTATAAAAATTTTGATAAAAAAAATAAGACAATAAAAAAAAGAAAAAAAGAAAAGGGAACAAATTAAAATCACTATTATCATTGAAAAAACAAAAATCAAAATCTTGGTTTGAAGGATAAGATTAAAACCTATGAAAACTTTGACAAAAAGGCAAAGAAAAAATATAAGAAATTAAAATTTGAAAGTGCAAATAAAAAAAATGTCTAGTTAAAAAATTTAAAACCAATGATTAAATTAAAAAAATAGAAAAGAAAATAAAAAAGAAAATAACAAAAACACATAAATCAAATCTATGAAGACTAAATCTAAAATATCAAATAACAATGAAGATCTTAGTATATTTATTAGAATACGAGAGAGGAATGAAAATGAGAAAAAAATTATAAGCGATAAATTAATTATATTTAGATATATAACAAATGTCATTCATAATAATAATAATAAAAAATGATATAATAAAAGTCTATTTTTTATCATTGAGAACTGTTACTTGCATCATTAAAATACATAGCAGCTTTAATGTGCCAATAATTTTTTAAAATAAAAAATTATTTTAATATTAAATTATATTATTATCTTTAACTAAACTAATAATTAATAAAAAAAATTCAAGATTAAAATATCATGATATCCCTACCCAACGAATCAAATTTCTTGGACTAGACCTGTTCTGGTAATTTACTTTCCTTGAATTTAGCATCAAAACAAAACATTAAATTTTTTTAAAAAAAAAAGCTCTAAAAAAAAGACTAACTCGTACAGGCCTATAAAAAAAGCATTAGGCTTGCGCACCAGGTATCATGTATATTTTTTTGTTTTTTCAAGTGGTGGAAAACAAGTCATCCACCTCTATTTTCTCTTAAATAAAATAATCAAGCAACATGTAATCTATTTATCTAAATTGTGGTCATAAGTGATGGATAGAAAATTAAAATAGATTTTTTCTCCCTATAAATATATTCTGTAACCAATTTTAATTAAATAACACTTCACAAACACCAACAAATTAATTTATCAAACTAAAGTATTTAAAAAATATTATAAAAAAATCAAATCAAATTAGATTTTTCTTGCTTGGTATATATTTTTTTATAAAACATTTAACCACTGTTTGTATTGTCTTTGTGAAGCTCAATCATGATTCAAGTGATCTCTGTTTAGTGCTCAAGTCTTTCCAATTAATTGTTTAGTCAATACATTGTTTTGGGAGAGAAATAAAAACTAGTCTAAAAAGAGGGGAAACTCTCTAGAAAAGAGAGAAAAAAATTAAAAAAAACTCTAAAAAAAAGACTAACTCGTACAGGCCTATAAAAAAAGCATTAGGCTTGCGCAGCAGGTATCATGTATATTTTTTTTGTTTTTTCAAGTGGTGGAAAACAAGTCATCCACCTCTATTTTCTCTTAAATAAAATAATCAAGCAACATGTAATCTATTTATCTAAATTGTGGTCATAAGTGATGGATAGAAAATTAAAATAGATTTTTTCTCCCTATAAATATATTCTGTAACCAATTTTAATTAAATAACACTTCACAAACACCAACAAATTAATTTATCAAACTAAAGTACTTAAAAAATATTATAAAAAAATCAAATTAAATTAGATTTTTCTTGCTTGGTATATATTTTTTTATAAAACATTTAACCACTGTTTATATTGTCTTTGTGAAGCTCAATCATGATTCAAGTGATCTCTGTTTAGTGCTCAAGTCTTTCCAATTAATTGTTTAGTCAATACATTGTTTTGGGAGAGAAATAAAAACTAGTCCAAAAAGAGGGGAAACTCTCTAGAAAAGAGAAGGGAATTCCCGAAAAACACCATAGAGAAAGCTTTTCTTATCGTTGTGTTGTTGGTCACTGCAAACGGAAGAAGAAGAATAGTAGACGAAGAAGATTTTCCATAGAGAGAGCTTTTCTTATCATGGTGTTGTTGGTCAATGCAAACGGAAGAAGAGGAATAGTAGACGAAGAAGATTTTCCATAGACTATAAAAAAAGCATTAGGCTTGCGCACCAGGTATCATGTATATTTTTTTGTTTTTTCAAGTGGTGGAAAACAAGTCATCCACCTCTATTTTCTCTTAAATAAAATAATCAAGCAACATGTAATCTATTTATCTAAATTGTGGTCATAAGTGATGGATAGAAAATTAAAATAGATTTTTTCTCCCTATAAATATATTCTGTAACCAATTTTAATTAAATAACACTTCACAAACACCAACAAATTAATTTATCAAACTAAAGTACTTAAAAAATATTATAAAAAAATCAAATCAAATTAGATTTTTCTTGCTTGGTATATATTTTTTTATAAAACATTTAACCACTGTTTGTATTGTCTTTGTGAAGCTCAATCATGATTCAAGTGATCTCTGTTTAGTGCTCAAGTCTTTCCAATTAATTGTTTAGTCAATACATTGTTTTGGGAGAGAAATAAAAACTAGTCTAAAAAGAGGGGAAACTCTCTAGAAAAGAGAGAGAGCTTTTCTTATCATGGTGTTGTTGGTCAATGCAAACGGAAGAAGAGGAATAGTAGACGAAGAAGATTTTCCATAGAGGATTCTCATTGGCTGGCGTCGCCTCTTACGCTCCAGCACGCATAATTTTGGCGTCGGCAATGCGATACATGAGCAATTAAAATGCGAAGATAAACAATGGGACAACATTGTCAATGCCACCTTGTTCGCTCCACATCGAACAAACCACTTGGGATCTTCCTGCCCCTAAACGACAAACGATTAAAGAAAAAATATTTTTGGACTTTAGCATACTAAAAAAATTTTAATATAATCATATAGTACAAAAAATATTATAATAAATTACACAGTTTAGAAAGTTATATGTAATTTTTATAATTCACGAGTTGCACTTGTCTTTTAGTACTAATTCAAATTATAAAATTTGAAAGATACAAGATTTAAAAAGAAAATAAAAAGGAAATGAAAAAATAAATCTAAAAATATACTAAAGTTTCAAATATCATTAATAATATTAGAAATATTTTAATGATATGAGTTCATCCATACTAAAAAATATTATAAATAATGAGAATAGTAAAATACAAAGATGTTAAACTTGATTTTAGGGCATTGGTGTGTCCCACTTGAATCACCTTTCATAATTTTTTTGGTATTATTAAAGTTTTTTCATTAAATGTTTTTATTAATACAAGTTGTGTTATTACTAGAGTTTTGATATGTTTTTATAAATTTTTTTTCTATTTTCACTCTCTCCCTTCTCCCCTCTCCTAGTTGAATCTTGTATCTTTCAAATGATTTTATATAACAATTGTGACCCGTGAATTATTTGTGATTATCAACTGTATTATTTTTTTAACGTGTTATTTAAAAATAAACACAGAAAAAAAAAAAAAGGGTTCCACGTGATTCTGTATCTATCCACCAATCAGCACTCATTTCGAATCTCGACAAATCTACTGCTATCCAATCCAGTCCAGCATAAACGACGTTGCGTAATAACCATTAAACGGTACCGTTCCTTCGGCCGGCCGTCTAAATAGACCGTGCCGCTCCCCACGTTTAGCCAGGCACGCGATCGAGCATCCACATGCATTGGTGGCCTATGGCGTTAGCCCAGGAAATAAGTATATCTTGCGTACGTGGCTTGCAGTAGCTGGTTTTTGTTGATCCTTGGCGTCTAGTTTCAAATTAGTTGTCGGTTAATTCGGATTTTCTAGTGTTTTTTTCTTCTCACAATAAATCATTCAATTTTATTAGAGAACATTTATTATCGGCATCTCTCTTTTTGTTTTCTAGAGACAAATCATTTACATGATATCACTACCTAATAGGACGAGCTGTGCTTCTTCTTGTGATCTTCGAATCTGTTAAAAATGTACTAATATTATTACAAAAGAGACAGTAAATCTGAAAGCATGTACAGTTGAAAATCATAGACATTCAAGCTTGCTAGACATATAAATATATGCACAAAGAATTCTAAAAAAAAAAAGTGGAAAAAATTTGTTTTGATATCTTATTGTTATATTATTTTATTTCAAATTTGAATTTTATATGATATAACACGTATTATAAACCCTTCTTTTGTTTTTATTTGAAGATAAGATATTTTAAAAGATTATAAATTATTACATAATTTTATATAATTTGTTTTATAATATGTATGTTATGAGACTTAGTGTAGGTATAATGTATCCCAATACTCTCTTACATTGCTGATCATAAATCTGAGACCAGGGGTAGTGACATCTACTATAGTAAAATAATTAATAAGACCAGGGGTAGTGACTGTTGGGAATTCCGACCGGTGATGTTCTTTTTCAAATGTGCTATTAAATAATTCATTAGAAAAATCTTAAAGTAATAAAGAACATAAATAACATACAGTTAAATATTCATCTCATATATAACTTGAATAATAAAAAATTCATAATTTTCTATTTTAAAGAGTATAAATATAATTATATATTTTTTAAAAAACTGCTAAAATAGTTTTTTCTTAGCCACGTTAGCCTCAAGATAAAAGGCATGAGTAGGAATGCTCTTAAAAAACCAGAATTTACATCGCCGCTGAGGATTTCCCACCACAACAGGGCCTGCTAGCAGTATTCCTCTTGTAGCCTTTTTTGCCAGTCCTTTTACCTTTTGTCGTTCGTGTCAATTAATGAAATCCAAGTTTGTAGCGTGAAACACTGAAACTTGTGTTTTGTCGGCTTGTCTAAGCTCCACGTGTTTCCGTGTCTATCCACCAATCGGCACTCATTCCTGCCCGGAATCTCAACAATCCATCATTAACGACGTCGCATAACAACCATTAAACGGTATCGTTCGTTTGGCCCGCCATCTGCATGGACGGTGCTGCATTCCACGTTTAGCAAGACACTCGATCGAGCATCCTCATAAATTGGTGGCCGATGACGTCATCCCTGGAAAATTAATCTCCACGCACGTGGCTTGCAGTAGCTGTGAAGCCTGGCTGGTATCTTTGATATTTTTTTTTGATAAATAAATCGTGTTGCTCTCGATATTAAATAAAATTGATATTAATGAGTGGTCGTTCGTTCAAAAAAAAAAAAAAAAAAAAAAGCAGTGTCAGATATGAAGAACAGATCCTGTAGGATTCTCTTAAAAAAAAAACAAAGAAAGAAAAAGAAAAAGGTCGAAGAAGGCCATGAGCACTGCTCTTTCGGCTTTTCTTTTAACATATGCTGTGAGCTCCTTGAAGCCAATCACCATGGCTATGCCTCGCATGAGAAAAAATCTAAATTGATTTTTTTTATGGATCACGAGTCAATATTTTTTAAATTTAAATTTAAAAAATATATTAATATAAGAATTTTTTTAAATTCAAAACTTGTTATTAAATTGAATCAAAATTTTATTTTTAATCAAAAGTTAAAATTTTCAAATTTTAGATTCCATTTACTTGAGTTTTGCAAATTGCCAGAAGTTGTTTTTAACTTTTGACTAATAATAATATTATACATATATTTGGTTACAATTACTTTTTAACTTAAATAAAAAAAATTGTTACAAAATTGAATCAATATTTTAATTTAATTTAATTTAATTAAAACCTAAAAATTTTAATTTTTAATTTATGAATTCAAAGGTGTGCTGCATTTATTTTTATCAATACATCCCTAATTTAAAGTTATTTTAACTTATTTTTGTCATGAATTGTTTTATAAAAAAACAACTTTGAAATTTTGATTCAAAATATTTTTTATATTTATCATACTAAACGAACTACTAATTTATAAATTCTATCCTATGTTATTATATTTATTTTAAAAAAAACTTGTCTTAAATTGATTTTTATCAAATATATTTTTAAAATAACTTATTTTTTCATAAATTATTTATAAAAAAATAAAATTTGAATTGTAATTAATCACGTGACCGTGTGGGCCAAATGAAATGAAAATGAAAAATAAAAATCCAAGTTGGGTTCAGGTTTCCCAGTATTATTACCATATTTCTATAAATAACCAACCAATTATAATCTATTTACCCCTCTCTAATCAAACTCCCTTCATTCAAGCAAGCAAATTGCCACCGCCACCCCATTTCCTCATTTTCTTCAGGTGCCCTTTTCCCTCCCTTTAATGTTTCAGATCTACAGTTAAATTAAAATCATTCCTCATTAAAGCAAGCAACCGAGACATTAATCCTGCCCTCTCGTTTTCTTAACGGCTATTTTTGTAGCAGTAGAAACCATGGAAGCTGTCGATGCAGTGCCGGTTCACTTGAACGGGAAGGTTGCGATCGAGGACTTCGATCTGACAGTTGTGGAGGCGGAAAACGGAGATAAACAAAATGAAAGAGAGATTGTGTTAGGGAAGAACGTGCACACTACTTGCCTCGAAGTCACGGAGCCCGAGGCTAACGATGAATCTACCGGAGATAAAGAAGCTTATATGGCAAGCGTTTTGGCTCGCTACCGAAAGAACTTAATGGAAAGGACTAAACATCATTTAGGTGATCAATTTTTTGAACTCCAATAGTAGCACTACTTCATTTGGTCATTACTATTATCATTACTTTTTTTTTTTATTCGTAAGTGTCTAATTTGGTTTTTTAATAGCTCGTGTTGATGTTTCAATTTTAGAACTTTGCTTATTATTAATTTGTTCTTCCTCAGTGCGGGAATTGATTCTGTTAATACTGCTCGGGATCTGGTCATTGTTTTGTTAATTTTGAAATGAATACAATTTGATTGGTATAATTGCTTTAAAAATTTATTATGGTTTTGGAGTTACTGCCTTAACTATGTTGCTGGTGTTTGGAAGAGTCTGCTTGTTTCCATGTCTGTAGAATCTATTTATTTCGAGTTCGAATTGTTCACATGGTTTTATCTGTTATAGGTTATCCTTATAATCTGGACTTCGACTATGGTGCTTTGGGGCAGTTGCAACATTTCTCCATCAACAATCTTGGTGACCCGTTCATTGAGAGTAACTATGGTGTACATTCAAGACAATTTGAAGTTGGTGTTCTTGACTGGTTTGCACGTCTTTGGGAGATTGAGAAAAGTGAATACTGGGGTTACATCACTAATTGTGGTACAGAAGGCAATCTTCATGGGATTCTAGTTGGGTTAGTAGATTTTTCATGTTTCTTTTTGACTATGGAGGACTTGAATCAAGTGCTAGAAAAGAGAGAGTTGCTAATGCATTTAAATTGTGCAGGAGGGAAGTGTTTCCTGATGGAATTCTCTATGCATCTCGAGAGTCGCATTATTCTGTCTTCAAAGCTGCTCGAATGTATAGAATGGGTTGTGTGAAGGTTGATTGTCTGGTATCTGGCGAGATTGACTGTGCTGATTTTAAAGTTAAACTACTTGCTAACAAGGACAAACCAGCCATCATTAACGTCAATATAGGTATCCTTCTCTCTCTTATGTGCACACACTCTTATGCAGACACATGCCCATGTCTGCTTGAGCATCATTAATTTGTTTCAATGGACCATTCTTATTGCAGGCACGACTGTCAAAGGAGCAGTTGATGATCTTGATCTTGTGATACAAACCCTTGAAGAAAGTGGATTTTCACAAGATCGATTCTATATTCACTGCGATGGAGCTTTATTTGGACTTATGTTGCCTTTTGTCAAACGTGTAAGTGATTTCTTATGACTCCTGTTAGAAGATGATTTGATTGATCATAGGAAGGTAATAGTTCTTATGTTTTCTGTAAGGCTCTTGGATCAACCAAATCTGAATAACTCATGACATTTCATGAGGATCAATCCCATTTTATTTTCTCTCCAGTTGGTCTCCATCTATTAGAGTGACTGGTTTGTTCTGCTTCTCTTCAGCATGTTAGGAATTAAGTAGTTCATCTTAACAAAATTTGGCAAAAGGGCTGAATCATCTGATCTAAATGTTTCTGTAGCATAAACAGCACCTATACACTTGAAACAATCTCAAATCTTTCATTATGGTGGTTTATTTCTGGAGCGCCTCCTGTTTGTTGGTAGTATCTTTGACATGCTGATACATACAACCGTTGAACATTATAGAAGTCAATGATGGAACCATAAGAAGTGACCATATTCCATCATGCTAGCTAGACGTCATGATGTCTTGCTGTCTCCCCTGTAGCTGTTTAGTATGTTGCGGTCACTTATTCCAATTTTCTTTGTTTGGGTCGTTAAGAAGTATACAAGTGCCTGTTATTTTAGCGTTGTGGCCCTGGTTTTCTGTGTAGCTCATTTCATTGGTGGTAAACAGGCGCCGAAGGTTACTTTCAAAAAGCCCATCGGAAGCGTTAGTGTCTCTGGCCACAAGTTTGTGGGATGCCCTATGCCATGTGGCGTGCAGATAACAAGGATGGAGCACATTAATGTCCTCTCAAGCAATGTTGAGTACCTTGCTTCAAGGGATGCTACAATCATGGGAAGCCGCAATGGTCATGCCCCTATCTTCCTTTGGTACACGCTCAACAGAAAAGGATACAAAGGGTTCCAGAAAGAAGTGCAAAAGTGTCTCAGAAATGCTTATTACTTGAAGGACCGACTGCGTGATGCTGGGATTAGTGCTATGTTGAATGAGCTCAGCAGCACAGTTGTATTTGAGCGGCCCATAGATGAGGATTTTGTTCGCAGGTGGCAGCTAGCTTGCCAAGGGAATATTGCCCATGTTGTGGTTATGCCCAGCGTTACAATTGAGAAGCTCGATGATTTCGTGAATGAGCTAGTTGAAAAACGCTCAACTTGGTATCAAGATGAAAAAGCTCGGCCTCCTTGTATTGCAGCAGATGTAGGGAGTCAGAATTGCTCTTGTGATTTACACAAGTGAAGTGGTGAAGACACTATACCCGATTATATTGTTTATCACTCGAATAATCATAGATAATAGTCATAGATAATGGATGGGAGCCCAAATGAGAAATTAAGTTTTAGTTTATGTGTGGTTTAATTTATTTGAATTTTAGTTAAAGTTTATCAATCATTTATTGAGTTTAATTTAATTATTATTAAATACTTTTTTATGAGCTGTAAGTCTTTTTTTTTTAGAATTTTAGTATTTATACCTTACTTTTTAAAATATTATGCAGTTGATGATAAATTAAATATAAGTTATAAAGTTGCAGATTTTTACAACTTTTATTTTTTCTTTTTATTTTCTTTCTTTGGCTTATTTTTCTTAGCTTTTTTTTTTTTTCAACTTTAAATTTCGTTTGCCTCATGTCAATTTTGGTATTATAACTCTTTTTTTTCACAATTAAATAATGCATGAGCTTGCTTAAATCTTCAAATTCAAAAACCATTGTAAACTTTAGATCTTCTGGGAAACTTTGATTAACAGTGATAAAGAATGTAACAGTAAAAAAAACAAAAAGAAACAAAAAAATAATAATCTTTCTGTTTACAGCTTAAATCTAAAAAAAATTCTTTAATCTTTCTGTTCACAATTGAAGGGGGGGGGGGGAACTACTGTTCATCTTTCACACAGCCCATCCCTCTTCTAACCTAAACATACCCTGAGACCTGTTCTTCTCTTTAACTGTAACAACCAAATCAAGCAGCCAACAACCACTATAACCAATTTAGCCACCACACACAACCACAATCTCCCTATTGACAACAGCCACCATTCATCCTCCCTAGCCAGATCATCCGCCCCACCAAACCCATCCCAACTACCACAACCGCAGCAAGCACAACCTTAACAACCGTCCATAACACTCGCAGTGCCATCGTCCTCAGCAGGAACCAACTGATCGACGTCACGGACCATTGAAAGCCCCCATCTGCAGTGCTCGCAAGATTTTCGTCTTCAGAAGCCACATCAGATCGATGTAACAGATCCTCGGCTGCCACCACCCACGGTGCCACACTGCCTCGAGACGACTACTCCTTCACGCTGCTGATCGCAATCCGCTACAGAACCACCTCTCTCGTCAATAGTGGCAAGGGAACCACTTAAGGTAGATTAATCCACTAATCCATGTCAGCAAATAATCAACGCCACATCAGCAAATTCTTCCACGTCACCGCCATGCAGCACATAATCAGTTCCATGCGTCAGCAATCTTCTCCATGTCAACAACAGTAATTACCAGCATCTTCCTACCAATCTAGATAGGAAATCACTTTACTTTTGATACGTTGAGTTTTACTATGTATTATACTTGTTATTCATAGTATTTTTTCGTACTTCAAAAAAATATTTTTATCTTGCATTGTATTTTTAAACTTTGCTCACTTTATATTTTTTCATTTAAATTTTGTATTTTTTTTTATTAATTGTGGAGTTTATATGAAAAGTTATGATTTTGTTTTGATTAATTATTTATACTGAAAGTCTCGTATTGTACCGTTAAATTTATCTATATATTAAAAAAATAAAATTAGTTCTATTTTTGTTTTATGATTTCGCTTGCAAGAATTATCTTAGTTTTATTTTTAAGTTAGTGTTATATGTATTTTTATCATGATTATTTAGTATTCAAATTTAAATCTATACTTATTATAAATCCGACATTTAATAATACTCTTATGAATGTTTGAGGGAAGTTGCAAACTTAGATTTGCAAATTTTATTGAAAAGATGCTGGGAATTACTTAAAGAAATGAAGGAAACCTTTTATATGGGCTAAAATAAAATAAAAACTACAGGAAAATTACCTACCCAATTTTATTGTGTCACAGCACAGATATCATTTTTTAACCTAGTTATGTTTTGAGGATTTTCCCTGTTTTATATGTTTCTAAATCATGGTTAAACCAAGGTCATCCATAATTTCCTGCAGCTGGATAGCGGAAAATCCCCCCCTCCGTGTTTTATGATGGCTTGACAGGTTGTGTGGTTAATTAGATTCTTTATTACTCCGTACCAGTAAATATAGAATCCTTTTCCCTCCTCCCATCGCTATTATACGTTCCAGTGTGTTTGCGTTGTTGTCTATTCTAATCTTCTTTCAATGGATTCTGGGCCTACCTTTTCGTTTTGCATGGAAGGCTAGTTTTCTGGCAATCACATATAATGTGAACCTTACCATCTACGGATTTTTGAGTTTCAGACCCAAACTTAATTCACCACGCTGAAATGGTTCAAAATAGTTTTTTGTGGCAGCGCAAAGTTGAACTTTGTTGCACAGCAGAAGACACAAAACGAGTCCTATTATCATGAATTACATCAATGTTGAAGAGAAAATACATTGGTTTAAAAAGTTCTCGATGCTTATTCTTGTTAACTCATAAATGCTTCGAAGTTCTTCTTTCTTATCCATCCATATGTTCCTAGGAGGTAGATGCTTCACAGTTTATAGTGGCTCAACAATAACTGGATACTTGTTTCTTGGCATCCGCACAAGTGTTGGCTGGACAGAGTCATCTTTCTCAAGAGGTTTCCACCTATTATTGATACCAGAATTATAAACAGATAGTGATAATAATAGCAATAAAAATTTAAAAAGCTCAAAAGGTTGAGATTGGATGAAGTGATCATGCTCTCCGTTCAAGAATGTTCCTGCTCTCATGATACAAGTATAGTACCATGCAATCTATATTGGTCTTTCTTGTAAGTGATATATTTGTCCGTTCTATTCGATCAATTGAATATGGTTTTTCATCTTACTTGTATCTTATGACCAGGTGGTGTATGAAGACACAGATTTCTAGTCTGGCAAGGTTGATTCCAGGGCACATCCGCGGTCCACTACCAAATCCAAGAAAGCTGAAAGACCTTACGGGTGCCTGCAATTGATTTCAAAATTATTTCACTCTGCATATCAACTGATGATAATGGATTGTATTGGAGCTACTCACGTCAAATCTGGAAGGGTCAAACTTTTCTGGGTCGGGAAAAACTTCAGGGTCATGGTGGATGGAAACAACATCCAAGTTAACAGACCAGCCTTTCTTGATTTTATATCCTGCGATGTGATGAAATGAATTAATACCACTATGTTCATATTGCTGCTTGGCATCAGGTTTTGTGGATATACATACCGTCAATTTCAAAGTCCTGGGCAGCTTTTCTTGAAAACCAAGGTAATATTGTGGCTCTTCTGAGAGTTTCATTGATTACCTGGACATAATGGAAGAACCAAACATTCAAATAAGGGGAGATTTTAGCAGATGAAATTTGAAAAAAAAAAAAAAAACCCCCCCTCACTTTATTAGTATAAGGCATGTTGTTAACTTCGGACCATGTGAGGCTGGCTCCATCCGTTCTCTTTGATTGGATGTTTATATGCTCTTCCTGCAGGTCCAATATCAGACTGCATCCAGAAGTCATCCTCACAAAATAAAATATAATTGGAAGACTGAATTTATCATTACTCGGAGTTTCTCTAAAACTGCAGGATTTTCTTCGAGAAACTTCATAAGCCAGGTGAGAGCAGCGGTTGTTGTATCGTGACCTGCAACTAGCAGAGTTAATATATTATCCTTCAGTTGTTTGTCAGTCAGTTTGTCCTCCTGATGTTCTCCACCTTCTGCTTTGCTATGTTTCATTATCAGGGATTCTAGGAAATCTTGTTGGATGCTTTTGCCACTTCTCCTCCCTGCGATTATTGAGTCTAACATGTCGTACATCCTATCCCGAGCCTGATGATCAGGTGCAAAATCGTATCAGAGCAGATCTCAAAATATTCGTTTTTTCATGGATTGTTGTAAGAAATTACGTTCTCGATTTTGTCCTCAGTTTCCAAAGATCAATTAGTTGCTTCATATCTCACGTTACAGTTTGACAATATGGCATGAGAAATTAATTTGACAACATGGCAAGAAGAATTAATACCTTGATACCGTTATGATAAGCTGTTCCTGGGATTTTAAATGGCAGTGATGCAAATGAAGAAGAAATGATTTTGAAATTTGATCGAAACTTTTCCTGCTCTTCTCCAGCGGGTTCTAAGCTCATTATCATGTTACCGATTACTTTGAGAGTGAACTGCAAAAGTGGAAAGATATTTCTATAACATCCCAAAAACAACAGTGCAACCCGGGTGGGAAGCAATCTCTTTTGATTGAGCAACAGAGACTCAACTGTAGAAGCTTCTTCAAGGACCAGCACTGTTCGTCCAGACCATTGGTCCAATGTTTCCATAGCCACTGTGTTAATGAAGTGAAAATACGTTTTTAGGCCATCTACTGACAGGGGTTCTCCGATCAGACGCCGAAGCCTTTTGTGAGCTTCTCCGGTGGTTTGGAGCAAGCTGGTAGGGCCCAGCACCTGCTTCCCTGTATAAAAGAGGTTTAAACTCACCATCCCATCTTTTCCTGTCAACAAGATTTTACTTGCTTCTCTTCCAGTCATGAATACGGTGAATCTTCCCAGAACAAAAGTCTTGAAAACCTTTCCATAACTACGAAAAAGTTTCAATAGAATAGAAAAACAAAGATCAAATTGTTTAGTAGCTGTAGCCGTTTGGACAATAAGACAGATTTTGAGAAGTAAATAGCTTACCTCTGCTGCCTGTTTTTCATGAAGCTGAATATACCAGCTGCACTAGAAAACGCGGATAGGAAAGAGAAACTTTCGCCAACAACTGGCCAACCCAAGCTACCTGGGATTACCTCCATTTCTTTTGGTGAAATCCGTGACTGTAGCCAGAAGAAAGCTGAAAATACAAGCATGCTTATGAGAACCAAGACCAGCAAGATGCTCAGTTCCATTGCTAGTCGCTTGATCCCTCTACACAGCTAGCACCAAATATATATTCAGTTAACAATTAACAGTATTGGATGCATATATATTTTTGGATGATGAGCTCTGATTTCTCCGGTATATTCTTCTCCTTGTTGTCGTTTCTCTAAGACCGTTGGAACTTATTAGGGACAATCTTTACTCTCTAAGTTCCTCCGAATGCCGTTTCCACATTACCACTGCTTAGTAATTAACGTCAATTTATTAAATTGTATGATGCTAAAAAATGAAAACGAAACCTAATAAAATTAGTCGGTTAAATTAGTGATCTGAATTATAAAATTAATTGATTTCTATAATTTTTTTATATTTTTTATTTAAAATAAATATTTATAAAATTAAAAATGAATCAAATGTCAAACAGTACGTAATCAACTAAATATTAAATGATGAAAAAAAAAAATCCAATTCTAATGAATACAACAGTACGTAATCAACTAAATATTAAATATTAAATGATGAAAAAAAAAATCCAATTCTAATGAATACAAAAGAGAAAAGGCTTAATTTCTAGAGCTTAGATGACCTAGAACTCCTCGGCCTCCAGAAAAATGCTCAGACGAGCAGGCTTGGAATAACTTATGTTTCGAGCATTTTTTTTTTCAATTTTCTTAAGTGTGTTATCCACCCTTTAATTAATTGAAAAAAATATCAGGATTCGGTAATCTTTAGTCACTAGTCTATTTTATACCAGGAAAAACTCATTTCACTTTGTAAAATATATTTATAGTCTTTAATAACCTAAAAATTAATTCCAAAACCCACAATCAATCTAAAATCAATTTTTTAAAAAAATTAAAATCTATCATTTTAGGTAATTTTAAGGAAAAAAACATTTTGGATAAACTCTTCATATAAAAAAAACTATTGACTCTAAAATCACCTGTTTTTATGTTTAGAACCGATTTCAACTAAGATTTTTTTTTCTCCCATCAAAATCTGGTTAATTTATCTCTTGTCTCTCAAACTAAGGATAAAAATTATAAAAAATAAAATTTGAAATTGAATTTGAATTTCATAAATTATTAAGAACTAAAACCTTATAATTTAAAAAGTTAAAGGATCAAAGTGCGTGTAAAAAACATATTTCTTTGCTGTATTTTTTAGTATAGTTCTCTATATTTGAATCATGTTATTCTTTAATAAATGTGTTTTAATTTGCCATCAATTTAGGCCTATAGAAGTTTAATTAGGAGAAAAAAATAAGAGATTAAAAAATAAATTACTTTGACAAATCCTCAGGGATTTGTTTTTTTAATGAATAGTGACATGAGGAATAATATTTTCCCGCATCCTTTAGTGTATTTTTTTAATTTGATTTAAAATTAAAAATCGAAAGTCTAGAGATTAAATGTTAAGGGTGTAATAAAATAATTAAAGGATAAAGTATTGTTAAAGATGTTTTAATGCAAGAGTGAAACCATAAAATAAAATTAGAAAGGGTTAAAATTTTAGTTGTTTTATTATTTAGATTAAAAATATAAATATAGTTGAAAAACAATTTTCTTCCATGGGCAGGCCCTCCCAGCATGGGTTTTTTCTATTGTTTAAAAAAAAAAAACCTGGCATCATTCGTCCAACTGATTGTATTATCAGCCCCCCACCAAATCAAACATCAATGCGCAACAAGGAGAATAAGAATTCGTCACCTTTGCCTATTACAAGACAACCATAAGCTTGCAAGAAAAGTTAACATGAGTGACAATCTAGAGGTTATGTTTGGTTTTATGTCGAAGGGGATAAAGGTTAATTTTTATTCACTTTTAACCTTGTTTGTTAGTAGGAGAGGAAGATAAAAACTAAAGGGGCCTAACACTTGATCCTTAAAAAATGTCAAGGGAGGATAACTCTTTAGATTTGTGCTTTTTTTTTTAATATAAAAAAATCATCCACTTTTTTTATTTTCTTTTCCTTAAGAATTAGACCACACAAAACTTTATTATACATATTTTTTATTATATTTAATTTAAGCATTGATTTAAAATTTGTTAGATCCCAATTATATGAGTAATTATATGGTTCTGATTTGAAAATTTTATGACCTATCTTAAGGCTATAAACACTTTAGATCGAAACAAAAGAATTATTTAATTCTAAATAAAATTTACTCGGTTTTTGGTAAATTGCTAAACTAGCAACCCATAGTTTGCAATTATTTTCAAATATAATTCAAAATAGTAGCATTAATCTGCTATAGCAGATTTATCTTTCACGTAAGAATCAAATATTAATTAGGTATTTATCCTGATTTTTTTTATTTTAAAACAATAGAAAAGGTCCACTCTCATACGTATATATAATTTTTACACATCTATTCTAAACTAGCAATCCATAATTTGCAATTATTTTGAAATATAATTTAAAATAGTAGCATTAATCTGCTATACAGATTTATCTTTCACGTAAGAATCAAGTGTTAATTAGATATTTATCCTGATTCTATTATTTTAAAACAATAGAAAAGGCCCCCCCACATACGTATATATAATTTTTACACATCTATCTAACATCTTTAACAACACTTTATCCTTAAATTATTTTCTTACACCCCTTTAACCTTTAGACACTGACTTTTAATTTTTAATTTTGAATCAAATTAAAAAATACATTAAAAAACAATTCAACATGGGTATTAGTTCAATATATTTACTATTTGATAAGCATCTCATAAAAAAATATAATATGTACTAATCTTAATAATTTTAATTAATTTTTAGTTTTAATAAAATATTGATTATGAACATTTAATAATAATGTTTTAATATAATAAAAATATTATAATTATAATAATTTTATAATTTTTTTTGTAAAACATTTTTTATCTATTAATTTTAGATATTTTTTTTATATTTTAGTTTATAAAAAAACAGTTTCATTTCATAAAAAAACATATAATATGTACTCATCTTAATAATTTTAATTAATTTTCAGTTTTAATAAAGTATTAATTATGAATATTTAATAATAATATTTTAATATAATAAAAATATCATAATTATAATAATTTTATAAAAAAATTTGTAAAATATTTTTATCTTAAAAATTATATCTTTACTCTAAATTAATTAATAAAATATTATATTAATAAATTAATTATTTGGTGAATATTATATACATAATTAACATCATTTATAATTAGTTAAATAACATATCGATATTAGCGAAAGTCTTCGCACGCTGCCTGCCGGATTCAGCCCCTCTCCATTGCGAGCGAGCTGCCACTGCCCTTGGCTTCGTCAACGCAATGCGATCTTGTTGGCGGGTCTGCACCTTGACTTTCCACAAACCCACTAAACATTCTGCCAACTTCAGACGCTGCCAGAATCAGTATGCCTTGGGCTATCCATCACCCAAGTCCAGACTCGTGCCTGCTTGCATAAGTTGGTGCGATGCCTGCCGAAATCGCTGCTGTCTTGTGGGATACCACTGTCTACTATGTCTGTCCAGCCACATTTCTCGTCAGCGCAAACTTAGCCAATTTGACACCTGTTACACTGTCCTTTTATCTGGAGGGAATCTTGCTCGGTCACAAGTGATGACAGGCAGATGAAAGAAATAAAAAAGAACTGAAACGGGTGCTCTCTATCAAGGACAGCAAATGGTTGGGCCAACGATCCCTGCAAAATATAGTCACCAACCGTCTCCAAAACCTCTCTTCTTTTTAGAAAGAAAAGACTGAGAACCGGTTGCCATTCTCATCCATGTAATCTGGAGGGGTAAAATATAACCCTGTAGACTTTTATTGATGTCTAAAAATCGCATGCTTTTGTCATTTAATTGTGAATGGCGTAAGGGATAACTTCTGACGAAGGTGCGCTCATAGCTGGTTGAAACCAGGGAAGGAAAAACATGTTTCAAAGGAAAATGTGTGGTGCTTAGTCCTGCCGAACCCAGAGATTAATTATTCTGCACATAGAAGATTACAGTAGTCATCCACTCAATTGTTTAATGAAGGCCTAATTTCTATGCAACATGTGATAAATATAATCTGTCCTGAGGATAACATAGCCTGACGTGACAAGAGCTACGAGAAAGTACTCCCACAACCTGTGCCTGCAACCAATATACATGCTTACATATACAAGATGCTACGAGGGTCGAACTAATTTCTATTTTGCAACATTACATTCCAGCAAATGAGGTTCCGCCCGTGACATTAGACCCTTTGACTGAAATTTGAGAAGCTAGGGTGTGGCTGCCCATTATGAGTCTGGCCAGTGGTGGATGGCTGTGGCATGTGCAGCTGCTGCTGAGTTTGCTGGTTGCCAAAGGTTTGTAAGCCCTGATGGGAGGAGAATTGAGGAGGTAGACCTCTGTTGAAAGGGTTTCCATTGACAGCCGGAACCTGACCGGTTGCTATCTTAAGCCGCTGCACCTCTTCCCTTAATGCTTCATTCAGAGCTGCACACCATGGAAAATTACAAAGACCAATTCATCACTACTCTAGATTCATCCACTGAAACTAATGATGAAAAATAAGTATGTGAACATGTTTCAAATAATCAAACATGAGCATTTTGGCGGAATGCCAAAAAAAAAATGTTCATATGGAAATGATAAAAGGTGTTTCTCCCATTTTTAGAATAATTTCAAAGCATGGCAACAACATAACCTTTGGATAAATGATGCTGACATGCTATAACTTATACTCTACAGACACACCTACACCCAAACCTGCCCAGGCACTGTTTAAGATGTGGCAAATTATGGCATATCACGTCCATCAAATGCTAAAAGAGGATGATGTTCACGTACCAGGTGAGGTGCTTAGATTATGTAAGTACATTATAATGTTAACTGGTGTGCTTAGATTATGCAAGTGCATTAAAATGTCAAATCAGCATTTTGGCAGAATACCAAAAAAAAAAAAATGTTCATATGGAAATGATAAAAGGTATTTCTCCCATTTTTAGAATAATTTCAAAGCATGGCAACAACATAACCTTCGGATAAATGATGCTGACATGCTATAACTTGTACTCTACAGACACACCTACACCCAAACCTGCCCAGGCGCTGTTTAAGATGTGGCAAATTATAGCATATCACGTCCGTCAAATGCTAAAAGAGGACGATGTTCACATACCAGGTGGGGTGCTTAGATTATGCAAGTACATTATAATGTTACCTGGTGTACTTAGATTATGCAAGTGCATTAAAATGTCAAACAAATAGAAAAATGTGATTATTACACCTCCAAAAAAGAAAAACATTCTTATTCAAAGCGTACCGTCTCTAAGGTGTGCTTGTTGCTCCATAGCCTGTAACCTCAGTTTCAGTTCCTTATTCTCAACAGTTAACCCAGTGGTGTCTCTCTGCATCCATAAAAAGAATATAGACAAACATTAGCTTCCCTCCATATTTTTTCTGCTTGTTTTTTCCTAACTGATTTTTTGCCAGTACTAGCAAATGCAGCCTCTATGAGTGCCATCCAGGTTACAGGAAGGATATAGACAAGTCAGAATAAATTAGTACAATTTTGAACAAGATACCCATATCATCTAAAAACAAATTCAAAAAAGCACGCAGGTCGAAAAGGGAATATAGCAACATGTACTAGACTATATATAACCATGCAGCCCAAAACTTAAATATGTTCAACAAATATCATTGCATCTTTAGGGAAATCCATGGATATGGAAAGTATTTGCCAAGGTGAAAAGAGGAGCCTACATTTTTCAAAAAGTCATATACATGTCTAATGCAAAGCATATGACATACTTGTCAATATACACAAATACATAATGAATTGCAAAATCTATATTAGGAAACAGAAATAATGTTCTACTGATTAGTAACCGGATAGGAGTGTAAACAAGAATCTGAAGTAAAGCTGTCTGTAGGCAAGTCTCAAAAGCACACCAATCAACTTGAAATTTAGATAACTTTCCAAACAGAGATTTATCCAAGCATATTTTTAAGAAAAATAATCCAGATTTCAGGGAGGTGTTAATGTGGGCTCCACTTTCACACGAAATTTAAATGTATTTCAACACTTGAAACAGAGCTCGCAGCCACTACGTACATGTCTAATACAAAGCATAGGACATACTTGTCAATATACACAAACACATAATGAATCGCACAATCTATATTAGGAAACATAAATAATGTTCTGCCGATTAGTAACCGGATAGGAGTGTAAACAAGAATCTGAAGTAAAGCTGTCTGTAGGCAAGTCTCAAAAGCACACCAATCAACTTGAAATTTAGATAACTTTCCAAACAGAGATTTATCCAAGCATATTTTTAAGAAAAATAATCCAGATTTCAGGGAGGTGTTAATGTGGGCTCCACTTTCACACGAAATTTAAATGTATTTCAACACTTGAAACAGAGCTCGCAGCCACTACTTTCCATGCATGGTGACTGCAGGATTTAATTTCATGTCTTCAATACAAAACCAATGGCACAAAACCATCTAAGATAGCTAGAATCTTTGCTACAGGTTCCAACTGAAATTATGGACAACCATTGTGGGAGTTAAGATGATATGAAATCTCACAAGGTTTGTTGCATTTCAAAATAAATGTTAAAAAAAGTTCCAGATAATCTTTTATTAAAGTTTCTGGAGGCGTGTCTCAACAGCTAACGCTGATAAATACTTTCATTGGAGAGCATTTATGGGCGTGCAGAACAGGGCTGGGTTGCATGAATGTTTCGATGGGTTGCAGTTGAACTGCCATGAGTGTCCACATGCACTATGCATTTATGCATGATAAAACAGAGAACAATTATATCCAGTATTTTGGAATGACAGTATGGTGCATGCTTCAGAAGATGGAGTGAGTTAAGCGTGTGGACAATAAGCATAACTCATTGTTTTTGGCTATAAGTTTTGAAATGATTGATGCATCACTCAATTCTTCCATGCTTCAACATGCGAGGATAAGGAGCAATTGCATGGCCACAACAAAAATAGTAATATGATTACTGTGTCAGGTATGTTACCATAACAACCAGAACTTCTCGCTGAGAATTAACACAATATTCAACACAATGCTTAAATTAGAACACTAGAAGATAATACTAGTGCATAATCTCATAAATTAACAACCAAATGAGATGATTGGTCAGCAGTTGTAAATGGTGATTAGATAAAACTTGAACAGAATTGACATGTCAAAATATTATAAATGGTTTCACAATTGAAAATATGGTCGACCTAAACTTCCAATTCTGGAACACACAAGATTGTGTTGGGGTTAATGCCTCAAATATAAAAGGCATGTAGCTGCTTGGTGCAGGTGACGCATGAAAGATGCCATGCTATTATATTAAAGAAGTCGCTGTGATGTCAGTAAAAGAACTATTAATCACTATATGGCTGCACTGTTCTTTCCTTCAAGGATACAGAGCAAGGTCCGTGGCCTTAACATAGTAATCTGATCAACGAGTCAGGTTTGTCATCATAAAAACTGAAACTTCTCAAATCAAGAACTAACCCAGCATTTAATGAAATGCTTAAAATAAAACACCAAAAATGATCATTGTTCCATGCATAATTACATGGGTCCAACACAAAATACAATGCATCAGTTAAAACAATAGCATGTGGAATGGAAAGAATTTTTTTAACAAAACACGAAAAAAGTTATTACATCACAGTCTTGAAAAATGGTTATACAGATGCAAGAAAGGTTAAAAGAGATTTTGATTGAACATAAACTTCCTATCATGGGATGGACGTAGCTTAAAACAAATAAGGCAGTATATCAAGGTAAATGCCTCAACATGCCATAGCCAAATTGTAAAGTGCCATAGCTTCTATGCTTGCTTTCCATCCTGTTAAACTCTAATAGATATCTCAAGATGGTATCAAATGAATTGTCCATCATGAGACAATAGTCATTAATCACTCCATCAAGAGATCAAAGTCATAATCAACAGATCCAACGATTATTCACACGTGAGATATCACAAACAAAATATTGCAGCTCCATGCATACCCATACAGAAAAAAACCATCACTTCACAGGGCAATGAAGCACAAATTCAATAAAAGAAACCAAATCTAATTATATTTCTCAAGGAAGTTAAATAAAACCATTAAACAAAACAAAACCAACATATACCTGCAGCATCGTGACCTGTGCGGAGAGGGTGGTTGCTTCAGTCTGAAGCGTCTGCACCTTCCTCTCTAGCTCGCCAGTGTATCTGATTTTCCTCTCCTTTGACCGTGCTGCGGATTGCCTATTAGCAAGAATCCTAGAAAACACAAACATTTCTTTAAAAAAACCCTCATCACTAATCATTTTACCCAGCAAAATGACAATTCAAACAACAAAAGACCACAGAACTAATAACATCACCCTACTACTTCTCCATCTTTCTACTGAAGCACTACAATAATTAACACATATAATATATATATATATAGCTTAGGAAGCAAATGAGGAACAGGTAGAATTAATCATTAGAGATTAATTTTAAATAAAAAATGAAAAGAAAAGGTCAAACCTTTTAGCTCTTTTGGGATCAATCAAAGATAGCTCTGCAAGTCTATCGGGAGCCATAGCTTTCTTGACACCATCAATCATTATAGAATCCACCTCAAACGACCCATCCATCGAATAGCTATGCCTGTGGTGGGGGTTCGCGGCCCTCTTTTCTCCCGCTACCGCTTTCCCGTCGAATTTCTCATCTGCACCGCCGGCAGCCCCAAGACCCCAACCAAATAACTTTTTTATTGTTTTTTTTAACCGCACACACTCTACGCAGGCTTTCGCTAATCAGAGCACACGGTCTACCTTCCAATAAACTCTTACCTTTTTCGCTTCGTTGTCGTCGTCGTTTCCTTTCCAAGTACGATAATTTTTATTCAAGCTCGCAATGCAATGCAGTGTTTTAACTAATTATTTACCCGCGTAATTAGGTTTTAAAATCTATTTTTTTTAAGTTCTTTTATAATTTCATAGAATTTTTTTTAAATGAATTATTCTTTTCTTATACATACATTTTTTTACTAAAATACTTCTTTATACTAACAAGTATTTTGAATTAAAAGTAAAGGCAATTAAAATATCTTTTTTTATAGAAATCTCAATAATTTAAAATAAATAAGAAAATATGAATCCCTTCAATCTAAACTACATTTTTTTTATTAATAGAGACATGGTTTTTTTTATTAAAATAATTTTCTTTTAAATAAAAATACTTTTATGAAAAAAATATTAATAAAATATTGAAAATCATGCTTCCATATTTCATATACTATTAAAAAATAATTAATCTAGTAAAAATATGTAAGATGTTTATAAAAAAAATCTTATTTTTATCGAATTTTTTTTGCCACAAATCTTTTTTTTTTTTGCATACTAGGTTAATAAATAATAATTAACAGGATTATTGCTAAAATTACAAAAACAAATGCTATGATCAAATTTGAAAACAAAGGTAAAATTGAATGGCATTGATGGAATAGTATTTTAAATATAATCTTAATTATTTATTTATAGTGAATTTTATCATAGCTTATTTTTTACCTTAATTTTTTTATATATTTTGTTCAATTTAATTATTATTATTATTATTATATATATGATAAGTGATGCGTTCTTTACTAGTATAGATTCCAACCATCAAAAGTGGTAAAAAAATTAGAATCTGACATTTTAAAGTTCAAAAACCTATTTTTCAACTATATTCATATAAAAATATTTAAAAATATTTTATTAATCTTGATAAATTTATTATTGACCTGAAATTACTCCTAAATCAATCAAAATCCAAAATTATATTGAATCAGCAAAAGTTTTTCAAAACATGCTCTATTTTACTTGGTGAGATAAAAATTCAATATCACTTCAACAAAATTTATCTCAATAAAAAAAATTCAATAACACCAAGATTTTTTTTAGTGTCAAAATATTTTTAACCCGTAACTTTCTCTCCCCTCCGTTATTTTTCAATGACCTTCTTTCTCTTTCCTTAAAACTAAGAGACTAGAACATGAAAAAAATAAAAATTATGATCTGAACATAAAATTATAAACTTAGAAGGACCAAGAATGATTAAATGGAGAAACCTAGAAGGACCAAGAATGATTGAATGGAGAATTTCTGGATGACAATGAACCTTTTTGAAGCAAATATGAAAAAAGCCCATTTGTTTTTTATGGAGGCATTCTTCTTATAATTATTTTTTATATTGCAAATTTAAATCTTATTTTATCAAGTTTACTTCTAATTTAATTATGAATTTTTATAAAAAAAAACCTTGAAGCCTGGAAATATACAAAGAAGTAAACACCACAAACATTATTTTGAATGATAAAATAAATAAATAAAAAAAAACAGTTTGTGACAAATTTTTTTAAATAGTATTATTCATTGAATAGCATCAACCGCAATAACACAAAGTAAAATGATGTTTTTGTTTAAATTTACTGTATAATGATCACCTTTTTAACTTGCTTAGTATTGCAAGTTATTTTCAGATAAATTTTAAACATATCATTTAATTATATCGTTGAGATTTTTTTTTTAAATGATATGATAAAGAGCAAACATATTTGTCAAGATTTGAAGATAATTAATTTAATTAACAGTTTTGAATAAAAGAATATAGACATTTAACAAACAATGATGTATACCAAGAAAAAGGCGAATGTACAATAAAATAATAAAATTTTAAAGTGTTTCTAATATTTTTTTTTTATAAATACACATTCAGTATTTGCAATTCAATCAGCTTATATTTCAAATTTCCTTTTATCTTAAAAAATATTAAATTAATGGGTGTTTTTAGATTTTTTGATGGTTTTAATATATTAATGTTAAAAATTAAAAATAATTATTTTAATATATTTTCAATTAAAAAATAATTTTATCAAAATACTCTGTATCACGTTACCAAATACATGTTAATTAAGAACGATTGTTAACAATACAATCATGAGATTATACCGATGCTACTAGTTCTTAAGGAGTAAACAAAAGTATTGCCATGGCACTACAACGGATTGCATTGCCATCATATGAGGCTATTTGACGTAATGTACAGCTTGAACAAAAACTAAGATTCTCGAGCTTCGAATTTACTGTTCTAAATTGTAGAGAAAACTCTAATATTTTTCTGAAAAGTTTGTAGTTCAATAATCTTCTTTCAAAGCTTCCCATTATAGAATTAAAGACTTATTAGTAGAAGTTCTATATTCTAGAACTTCAAACTACAAAAAAATTTACATGTGACAAATCCTATTTTTTGACGATTAGAAATTTTTTTCAAATAAAAGTAAGTTCATATTTTAAAAGTGGTAAAAAAATTAGAATATGATATTTTAAACCTCAAAAACCTATTTTTCAACTATATTCACATAAAAATATTTAAAAACATTTTATTAATATTGATAAATTTATTATTGACCTGAAATCACTCCTAAATCGATCAAAATCCAAAATTATTGAATCAACAAAAGTTTTTCGAAACATGCTCTATTTTATTTGGTGAGATGAAAATTCAAAATCACTTCAACAAAATTTATCTCGTTAAAAGGAACTCAATAACACTAAGATTTTTAGTGTCAAAATATGTTTAACCCATAACTTTTTCTCCCCTCCATTATTTTTCAATGACTTTCTCTCTCTTTTCTTAAAACTAATAGACTAGAACATGAAAAAAATAAAAATTATGATCTGAACATAAAATTATAAACCTAGAAGGACCGAGAATGATTGAATGGAGAATTTCTTGATGACAATGAACCTTTTTGAAGCAAATATGAAAAAAGCCCATTTATTTTTTATGGAGGCATTCTTCTTATAATTATTTTTTATATTGCAAATTTAAATCTTATTTTATCAAGTTTACTTCTAATTTAATTATGAATTTTTATAAAAAAAACCTTGAAGCCTAGAAATATACAAAGAAGTAAACATCACAAATATTATTTTAAATGATAAAACAAAAAAAAAAAACAATTTGTGATACTTTTTTTTAAATAGTATCAACCGCAATAACACAAAGTAAAATAATGTTTTCGTTTAAATGTATTGTATAATGATCACCCTTTTAACTTGCTTAGTATTACAAGTTATTTTTAGATAAATTTTAAACAGATCATTTAATTATATCTTTGAGAACTTTTTTTTAAAATGATATGATAAAGAGCAAATATATTTGTCAAGATTTGAAGATAATTGATTTAATTAACAGTTTTGAATAAAAGAATATAGACATTTAACAAACAATGATATATATCAAGAAAAAGGCGAATGTAAAATAAAATAATAAAATTTTAAGGTGTTTCTAATATATTTTTTACATAAATATGTATTTAGTGGTGTGGTTGTTTTTGCAATTCAAGCAGCTTGTATTTCAAATATTCTTTTATCTTAAAAAATATTAAATTAATGGGTGTTTTTAGATTTTTTATGGTTTTAATATATTAATGTTAAATTAAAAATAATTATTTTAATATATTTTCCATTAAAAAATAATTTTATCAAAATACTCTGTATCACGTTACCAAATACATGTTAATTAAGAACGATTGTTAACAATACAATCATGAGATTATACCGATGCTACTAGTTCTTAAGGAGTAAACAAAAGTATTGCCATGGCACTACAACGGATTGCATTGCCATCATATGAGGCTATTTGACGTAATGTACAGCTTGAACAAAAACTAAGATTCTCGAGCTTCGAATTTACAGTTCTAAATTGCAGAGAAAACTCTAATATTTTTCTGAAAAGTTTGTAGTTCAATAATCTTCTTTCAAAGCTTCCCATTATAGAATTAAAGACTTATTAGTACAAGTTCTATATTCTAGAACTTCAGGCTACAAAAAAATTTACACGTGACAAATCCTATTTTTTGACAATTAGAATTTTTTTTCAAATAAAAGTAAGTTCATATTTTAATGACCATTTAATAAAGTCTTTCTCCAAAAAGTTCCCATCAAAGAAAGAAATCTCTTCAAATTTAGTAATTTGTCAAATAGGGTTCTTAAATATATCATCATGGATTGTTACTATCGTTCATCAAATAGGCCAAACTGCTCTTATACTACTAATTAACATAACGTATAATGTGAATACAAACAGGATTTAAAAACCCTGAATTTACAATTTTAAATTATAGAGAAATAGATGGAGAAAACTCTAATATTTTTTTTTAAAAATCCTGTAATTCAATAAAAAAAATTTCAAAAAATTGCCCTCAAGACTGTTTAAATATAAGAAGAAATATAATAATTAATAAAATCCTAGTATACAACAATAAAAACAAAGAAAATCCTGGGCACAAGTTCTATATTCTAGAACTTCAGGCTACAAAAAAATTTACACGTGACAAATCCTATTTTTTGACAATTAGAATTTTTTTTCAAATAAAAGTAAGTTCATATTTTAATGACCATTTAATAAAGTCTTTCTCCAAAAAGTTCCCATCAAAGAAAGAAATCTCTTCAAATTTAGTAATTTGTCAAATAGGGTTCTTAAATATATCATCATGGATTGTTACTATCGTTCATCAAATAGGCCAAATTGCTCTTATACTACTAATTAACATAACGTATAATGTGAATACAAACAGGATTTAAAAACCCTGAATTTACAATTTTAAATTATAGAGAAATAGATGGAGAAAACTCTAATATTTTTTTTTTAAACCCTGTAATTCAATATTTTTTTTTTCAAAAAATTGCCCTCAAGACTGTTTAAATATAAGAAGAAATATAATAATTAATAAAATCCTAGTATACAACAATAAAAACAAAGAAAATCCTGGGCAAAAACTCTTAAGTCAAATTTGGCATGTTCTCGAACAAAGCTGTCTTCTTATACTTACAGACAAAACGTCTTAGCAAAAATCCCACCCGATCCATCCATTAATTAGATAAAAAATTATGATCCATTTTTATTAAAAAGTTTATTTGACGCGTTCAAATTCTTTCTGGAGCTAAGACTTTTGTTACGCGCAATGCTGCTTTCGCCACGTCGATAATGAATAGAAACATTCGAATCCAGCACTGTCACTCGAAATATTCAACCTTTTTTTTTAAATGGATTCCACCTTTTCAAAAACATATTTTATGAGTTTAGACAAGGGAATAAAACTTTAATTATTTTAAATTTTTATAAAAAATATATATTTTAATTTGAATTCAAAATCTACTATATAATTTTTAAATTCTTTATTATTATGCTATGCGTATTGGAGATTTGAAATATTAAACGCTTCTTGTTGGTATTTTAAATATTAAATGAATGTTTATGTTTTTGGTGTTAGGTTGGTTGTCATTAATATGCAACAACCATTTGCTATTGCACCAACCATGTGTACTCATCCAAGATGTCAAAGGTTGGCAGCCACCATTGTTGAAGAAGAGTTGAAGTTGGTAGCCACCTTTGTTGAAGAAAAGCCTCCATGAATGCCTATAAATAGAAGTATATGCAAGAGAGCAAAATGAATGAAGAGAATTATGAAAATGTGAAGAGAGTAGAGAGGAAGAGAGAGCTGCAATGACAGCAGCAAAGAGAGTTGAGAGTTGAGTATGAGAGGGTGTAACCCTCCTCCTCCATGTATTTGTTTTGTATTCTTTCTCTTATGAGTTTAGACAAGGGAATAAAACTTTAATTATTTTAAATTTTTATAAAAAATATATATTTTAATTTGAATTCAAAATCTACTATATAATTTTTAAATTCTTTATTATTATGCTATGCGTATTGGAGATTTGAAATATTAAACGCTTCTTGTTGGTATTTTAAATATTAAATGAATGTTTATGTCTTTGGATCTCTTGAACTATTAATTTTATCTCTCTGGTTGTTTGCATAACAAAAGTAAATTGTCGAAACAGGTAACTGCTTGTAGAGTTACACAACGAATCATAACTATATTTATTTACATCAAATTTCACGGCTACATTAACATGCTCGTGCCGTTTAGAATTTTGGTGATAACTATGTATGTCATTGGTTGTTGGTTTTTATTCAGTGCAAACTTCTACTTTCTTCAGTAATAATGTTTGCAAGTGAGGTTATGGCCTAGTAGTGGGAGGGGCTTGTCCTTTTTTTCCGTATCTGGGTTCGAACCTTACCATGCACGTTTGTCACCCCGCGATATCTTATCTGCTCATTGGGCTTGCAGGATGTTCAGTGAGCCGTGGGGATTAGTCGTAGTCCGCGTAAGCTGGCCCGGACACCTCACATAAATAAAAAAAAAAAAAGAATGTTTCCAAATTTTAAGGTGGCGAGTTACTATATATGTTGTCAACTGTAATGGCTCATGCTTACAGATATTATTCTTCGCGGCCTAATTTAATTGTTAAGTAGTTTATTCTCCACTTCAACACTCAAGGTTTGATTTTCATGACAAGCTTTTAGGAAACAATTTGCTCTATTTAAAATCCAAAGACAAGGATTTAATACATATAAAATTACATGAGTATATAGTTATTAAATCTGAATATATCCAAATAAAATAAAAAATTAGAATGATTAAAAATCTGGCTGGCTCATGACCCCGGTAACTTGATAAAATTTAATTGAGATATGATTATTTTTTTTAGATATATTTTTTCTTCTAATTAGAGATTTTTTTTATATTTTTTTTAGTTAGTTATTAACTTTTTTCATAATTCATTATATAAATACTAAAGGAATATTTTATTTTTTAATGTGGAATTTGAAACTATTTAGTATATATACTTTATGTTTAATAAAAAAAATTATTTTTTAAATATAAAATTTTAAACCCTTTAGTATATATATTTTATATTCATAAAAAAATATATTTTTTCAATATTGAATAAAAAAATATTTTTAGTTTAAATACTTCAACTTAAAAAATTAACATACTAACATAATATCTTTTTAATTTAAGATAATTTTTTTTTTCAAATAATATTTTAAACTTCATTATTTATAACATATATAACCTATATTTATATGAATTTTTTTAAAAAAAATTAAATTAAATATTGAATTTTAAATTTTTTTTATTAATCTTAACAATCCATATAACCTAAAATCTGGTTTTTATGAGTATATAGTTATTAAATCTGATCATATCTAAATAAAATAAAAAATTAGAATAAATAAAAATCTGATTGACTCGTCACTACTTGATAAAATTTGATTAAGACATGATTATTTTTTTTAAATATATTTTTTATTTTAGTTAGAGATTTTTTTTATATCTTTTTTAGTTAGTTATTAACTTTTTTCATAATTCATTATATAAATACTAAAGGAATATTTTATTTTTTAATGTGGAATTTGAAACTATTTAGTATATATACTTTATGTTTAATAAAAAAATTATTTTTTAAATATAAAATTTTAAACCCTTTAGTATATATATTTTATATTCATAAAAAATTATATTTTTTCAATGTTGAATAAAAAAATATTTTTAATTTAAATATTTCAACTTAAAAAATTAACATACTAACATAATATCTTTTTAATTTGAGATAAATTTTTTTTCAAATAATCTTTTAAACTTCATTATTTATAACATATATAACCTATATTTATATGAATTTTTTTAAAAAAAATTAAATTAAATATTGAATTTTTTTTTTTATTAATCTAAACAATCCATATAACCTAAAATCTGGTTTTTTTGACCGGTCAACCCCAGGTCGGATAACCATGCATGTGTATCTATCAACATATTGCAGACGTGTTGTCCCCCAAGTATATTATGGCTTTCCATTTATTCAATACATCGAACCTAGCAATACTTTTAGAAAGTTTACAGGAATCCATGCCAGAAGTCTGTTTTGCTCCATGATTTTCAGCTTTCACCTACTTTATTGTCAATTAAAAAACCGCCACATAAGAATTCGGTGAGGATTTTACACCTACTTTATTGCTAATTGTTGAAAGTAGAGGATGGTTCTATTTAAATGTATACAAAAAGGTTTCACTAAAATAAAATATGAAAAATGTCAAGTAAAAAAAAATGCCAATAGTCATGACTCATGCATGGATCTTAGTTAAATCATATAATATTTCCACTCAAGTAAAAGAACACTGATTGTTTTGTTTCGTAATTATTTATTTATTTATATGATGCTTATATTATCTATAACATTCTGTTTCGTCGATGAGAGCACCAATGTTTTTTAAGTAATTCATTTTAAATTATTAAAAATCTCTTAATGAAAAATTTAATACAACTATCACAACTATTAGTTCTTAAAATAATTAAATAATTTTATTCACACCATAAATACCCAAACAATTTATTATATTTGATTTTATAGCTGAGCGGTATAACCAAAACACACAAAACATCGCCATGTAGCAGGTAATTCCTTATTATTATTATATTATTTTCCTTTGCAAGAACCATTTTAAAAGGTTTGAGCTGTTTCATCAATGGAAATTATACTTATATAAAAAAAGTATTACTCTGATGAAATTAATACAGGAGAAGTGGATCCCACCGGGAAAATCAGCGACCAACTACCATGTTCGTGTTCTCCATGGCTAACCTGGCTTAGCTAAATTTAGGAGGTCCGAATGCTTCCATTTCCTTGTTGCCGTAAGAAGGATGCGACCGTAAAACATATCCAGCATAGTGACGGCAAATAACTCCTTTGCAAGACGAATACATGTCAGTGTCGCCTTCCTCATTTGGTTAATTCAAGCGCATTACCGACCAGCATTCGTTCATTACTATCCTTGTAATACCGATGGAATATTTTGTAGATATTTAAACATTGATTCTAGTGGATTTTGGACGGTAACTGATCATTGAAAAATATATTGTTGGTGATTTTTGTTCTGTTGATTATATTTTATCAGCAATATAATTATTAATAAATTTACAAATAGAAAAGAAACTTTAAGAAAAAAAAATTAACAACGTCATTTTACCAATAATTTTATCCATAAATATAATACATTATTGACATAATAAATTATTGATAATTCTATTAGTGATTGAATTTACATTATCGGCTGAATTAACTTGTTGAAAATTTACATATTATTAGTGATCAATATTGTAATTTTTTAAATTTTTTTGAAGAATTTAGTCTGTTAATAATTTTAACCATGACCCATATTCTTTTTAATTAATAATTAACAAAGTTGCTGTTAACACCTTTTTTTACCGTCAAAATAATTAAAATTAGTATCAACAAGATCTATTCAGCAAGAAGAGTCTTATGGTAATTATTTTAAACTTTAATATTGTCTAAAAAACCAGATCCAAGCCGAGACTAAAAAAATTTATTCAAGTTGATTTTATGAATTAAGCTCTTTTTTAATTTATAAAGTTAATATGTTGGTTTGTTAATGTTTTAAGAGTGTTTTATATAGTGTTTTTAGGTTAAAAAAATTGAAAAATAAGATTTTTTAATACAAGACACATGAATATAATTTTCCAACTATCAGTGATAGTTGGATTATATATTAGCAGTAGCATGTTATTTATCCTAACAAGTAATGTGTTATCTTTTTTTTAAATAAAAAAAATTATTATAGGCCTAGATGTCCAGGCATAAACTTAAAGGCCCACAAACCCAAGCTCTTCCTTTCATAGATTTAGGGTTTGCTAGGTTATTTTTCAATTTTTTTTAATATATCTAGGTTAATTATGGATTTATATATAAAAAATTAAACCTGATTAAGTCTATGATTTGAATTACAAGTTTGACGGGTTAAACCATAACATCTAGTATGTTTTTTATTTATTTATTTAATATATTTTTATCCCTTAATTTTAAAAAAAATATAATTTCATTATTTTTATCGATGATCTATTTTTTTTATTTAACTTTAAACCAAAAAACACAATTTGACTATTTATTATCAATAATCTGCTTTTGCTATCTTAGTCTCACACAACTGTCATGATTTTTTTATAAAAAAATATTTCATATAAAAAAATTCTTAAATATTTTGTTATCATGTAAATTTATTAAATGAATAACAATCCATAAGATAAAAAATTCATTGAATTCAATGACATGCATGACTTACATTACAAGGTTTGTTAATTGACTTGAGTTCATATTTTTTTTATTAATTTTGTTTTTCAATATTGAATTAGATTTAGCTTTTTAATTTATTTTTTAAAAAAATATTTTGATAAATTTTAAATGTTATTGGAGATTTAGCTTTTTAATTTGTTTTTAAAAAATTATTTTGATAAATTTTAAATGTTAATATGGATTCACGATAGATTTAATATATTTTTATCTTAATATTAGATTTAAATAAATTTAATATATTTTTATCTTAATATTAGATTAAAATATTATTTAACATGTAGTTACTTTTAAATTTATGATTAAAATTTATTTTTTAGAAGATATATTAACAATAAATAGACTTTTCTTTAATTTTTTTGTTAAAAAATACTCCAATGCATGAGATAACGCGAGCCAATGAACTAATCGAGAACTAAGGATTGGTGGGTCATCACTTGATCTGTGCAAACCCACCCCACCCCAAGGCCTACCCCCCTCGCGGGACTTCCTGTTCCTTTATTTTCTGGTCAAAGATTAACATAGATTCTTCACTCGAAATTCCTTTATCCTTTTGAGTGCTGTCTCCTTCAAAGTAGGTGGCTCTTATGTCCCACGAAGGTATCTTCAGAAACCTGCAAGTTATCTGTATTTATTTTTCGAAGAGCGCATGGCTGGACTTGTTTTTATATATGAATGATGCAAAATAATTGGATGTTAAGTGTTTTGGAGTTTGGAGTGTTTAATTATCTAACAAATTCATACCATTTGGCAAATCCAAATAATTAGTAGCTCACCTTCAATATCTAGACTATGGAGAAAGCAAGGCATCTTCACACATGGCCAGCACATGGTGTTTGGATATTTTATGTGGCATTAACTTGCAGTACTGGAATTAATTAACTAACCAAGTGTTTATATATAGGAGGAGAAGAACAAGAAGAAGAAGAAGACGTGTTTATGACAGCTAACAAAGTGGGCATTTTCTACTAATAATTAAATGAATTACTCCTTGGAGCACCGTGCTAAGCACTTGAATCCTCACCTGGCAATCAGTCACGAAATCAGGGTTTTTTTTTAAAAACAAAATCCCGAGATGCTGGCCGTAAAAAAATTGAAGTAACTGTTGGCAAGCAGCTCGGGAGTGAAAGGGAAATACCATTAATTAATGGTGTAGCAGAGAATGAATGGCGAAGGGACCATTAGAAAATTATACATCATAGCCAGAGAGGTTAAAACCTAAAACTTAGGTCGCAAGTGGACTCTCTAAACTAGGGCCAGGGGATCATTAAGAAATCTACTGTGGCTAACGTGTGTCCTTTATTATATCAGTAATACACACGCACACACAACCCGCCTGCATTCCTATCAATTTTTTTAACACATAATGTGGATGTTTAGACAACAATAGTATTAGTAAAAAACAAGAAAAATATAATGCTAGAGTCATCAACTCGACTGGAATTAATAAAATTAAATAATATAATAATATAATTTAAATTATAAATAATAATAGCTAATGAATAGCTTAATTTTTTTTAGTAATAATTAATTAAAACAAATAAATCTTTAATATTATATCTAGAATGATAACAACAAAGAAATTTGAAGACTCGTGATCATTTCATTGTAAACATTATTCGCAATTAAAAATAAAAAATCTTGTTAAAGTGGTTTAAACTCATCATTACAAAAGAGTGCATGAAAACATTAAAAAAAATAATATAAATTACTAGAGTAAGGTCGCAGAAAAGAAAAGGAGAGAGAAAGTAACCATTCACTCATATTCATTTTATCAATTATATTTAACTTGTGAATAAAACTTATTTATAAAAATAAACTTAATAAAAACAATAAATAAAAGGACTCAAGAGACCCAGTGAAATAAATAAACAAAGGACACATAAAGTTGGAAAAAAATAGAGCTCGATCTCTAATTAAATAAATATCTAGTTATAGAATGGAAAAAACACTAGTTTTAAAAAATATTAAATAAAACAAATAAAACCCCAACGATATTAATTTGGGTTAATTTTCAAAACTTATAACTTGTGAAATCCTAGATATAGGTTTAATCAAAAAGCTAAATTTTAAACAAATTAAAAGGACCAAATATGATAAAGCAACAGTTTGAAGGAGGATGAAATTGAAATAAAATATCAATTTTATTAATTATTTAAACTAAAACAAATAACAATTAAAAGAATATAAACTAGATAAAAAAGAACAAGAAATTTAATGGTTGATCTGAAAAATTGAAAGGCAGGAATCAAAATTGAGAAAGAGAGAGAAAAAAATCACCGGTGACAAGCTGGTAAACTCATACATGCATGTGCTGTTTTTTCATAGATAACATGTCAAGATACATCGAAAGCAACCTTGGAAATATAATTTTGGCGTTCCGAATCAATGGCATGCCCTATCTTAAGATAACGAAGCAGCTGACGTGCTTTGATTTTTATCTGTTTATTAAAATACCTAAACGATCCCACCTAACTTATTAGTTATAAAAAACATCAACAACAATAACAACAACAACAAAATGATATAAGTACCTTTTAATCTAAGAATTAATTTAACTAATATACTCATCTATGTTCTGTTGTGAATCAAATTATTCCTTTTCTAAATTTTAAAAAATGTTAAGAGTACGATTTTTTTTTTGATAATATCATTAAATCCAATGAAATGGTTTAGAGGGTGTTTGGCACTGCGTTTGAAAAGCGCTTTCGAAAAAATTTGAATTTCTTTTTTTGCTTTAAACTAATATGTTTTTGATATTTTCAAATCATTTTGATGTGCTGATCTTAAAAATGATTTTTAAAAAATAAAAAAAATATTATTGGCACACTTTTTTGAATGAAAAACACTTTGAAAAATAATAGCAGTCACACTTCCAAACACGCTCTTAATTTAAAAACTTGCCAATTTGACTCTTTTCCTAATTCAAATTTCAAATTAAACAGTGTAAGAGCTAATCCAAAATGAGTCATTTAATCTAATAGGTTTAAAACAACTTGTATAATCAGTAAAAACATGACATAATTTTAAAAAAAAATTATGATAATATCTTTTTAACATAAAGACAATAACATATTAAATCGATTTTGGTCACCTTGCGACTTGAGTCATAAATTTTAACGGGTTTAATAACTTTGTAGTTTTTATAATTTATTATAATTTTAATTTTATAATAAAATTAGATAACTGCAAAATTGATTACCAACTCTAAAAAAGATGTTATATAAATCGTAATAACCATATAGAAAATAGAGAAAAATAAACCATGAATTTCATTTCCTAACCAATCAAACATTAAAGAAGAGTTATATAAAAAAATATATCATGCTTGACGAGTAAATCTGTTAAACTCGTGAATTGGATAACCCGAGTCAACACATCGAACACGTAAACTATATAATGAACTTTATTAGGATTGATAACTTGTTTTTTTTTAAATTATTGTTTATTTAATTATACAATAATAAAAATAAGCAATCATGAAATCTAGCAACAAACTAATATTGAGTTTCTTTTAAAAAATATGAAAAATAAATTAAAATAAATTATTAATTCTAAATCCACACACACATTATAAAAAAAGAACTAAAGTTTAAAAAAATCTAATAACCATATAAAAAAAGGATCGACATGCAAAAT